ATCCACTCTGCATTAATTCCAAGCCAGGGCATTGCAGGCCTGGGATTTTGAATTCCACAAGAGCCCACGAAATATTCAATATTTACTTCAGGGGGTTTTATGGGGCCTTTGTTCCATGCAGGAATTTTATGGGATTTGGGATTTCCTGGCATTTGCATCACCAGCTGGTAATTAGTGAAAATTCCCTGGGAATAAACAGAAATACCTCCCCAAACACAAATTCCCTGGGAATAAACAGAAATACCTCCCCAAACACAAATTCCCTGGGAATAAACAGAATTACCTCCCCAAACCCACAAAATCCTGGGGGATTTGTTGCTCCAGGAGCTCAGGATGGAACAAAATCCCAGCCAGCCCAACCCCTCCCTGTCCTGACATTCTAAAGGGAAAAAGCTGAGGGGAAATGAGGAAAATCTGGGAAAAAACCTCATTTTAACTATTCACATTTCTTATCCCGTTATCCGTGAAGATCTTTTAGGATTTTACGGGATGAATTTAGGATTTTAGGGATTTTTTTAGGGTTTTAGGGGAGCTGTAGGAATGCTGTGATTCCCAAACAAAAGGGAAATGTGCTGCTGTGATCCCACCTCGAGCTGCTCCTCGGATTCTTCCCTTCCCAGCTCCTTTTGCTTTCCTTCTGTGTCCCTCTCGTGGCAGCTCAGGAGAAATGGCCCAGCTGCACAGGAAAAACTCAATCCCAATTTTTTCCCTATGGATTTAACCCTTAAAAAAAAGAAATTGGAATTTTGTCAGCATAGAGACAAAAAAAATCTGTTTAAAAGCATTTTTCATTGTTGTTCTTTCCTTTATTGGTATTCAATAAATTGCATACCAATTGGTCGGTTCTTTCATTTCTTGGTATTCATAAATAAGTAAAATTTTAAAGCATTTTCATTTAGTTTTAAGGAAAAAGGAAAGAAAAAGGCAATAAAGGTGAAATAAGTAAAATTTTAAGGCATGTTCATTTAGGATTAGTTTTAAGGGAAAAGGAAAGAAAAGGGCAATAAACAGAGACAGAAAATGAAGAAAATGGAGAATTTGGATGGAATTATTTATTATGAAAGGCACTGGAAGAGATTGGTGTGGATTCCCCATCCCTGGAAGTGCCCGAGCACAGCCTGGATGGGGTTGGAACAACCTGGGACAGTGGAGGTGTCCCTGCCATGGGAATGGATGGGATTGAAGGTCCTTCCACCCCAAACCAACCTGGAATTCTCTGATTTTTAAAATAAAAAAAATATGACCAGAGCAGGGGGGAAAAAAAGTGATTAATTTGCTGCATTTATTATTTATAGTCCCTAACGAACACCCTGGGTGCATTCACTGCCCTGGGTGGGAGCTTCCCTGCCCACCTGAGCCCTGCTCCACCCTCACCTCCCCCTAAGCCATTTTTATCCATCCCAGGGTAAAAATATCCCATTTTCCCCCGTTTGGGCTCCATTGGCTGTGCCCCCTCACGTCAGCAGCCTTATCTCCATGGCTGGGGATTGCTGCAGACCAATCCCATCCCTGCCCCGATGGAGGAGGATCCCGGAGCTGCGGGGCTGCTCTGGAATCCCAGCCAGCCCCAGGGAAAGGCCTCTCCCCCCTCACAGCACCGGAGCTGCCCAGGGAAAGGCCTCTCCCCTCACAGCACCGGAGCTGCGGGGCTGCTGTGGAATCCCAGCCAGCCCAGGGAAAGGCCCAGGGAAAGGCCTCTCTCCCTCACAGCACCGGAGCTGCTCTGGATTCGCATTCAGCCCAGGGAAAGGCCTCTCTCCCTCACAGCACCGGAGCTGCTCTGGAGTCCCAGCCAGCCCCAGGGAAGGCCTCTCCCCTCACAGCACCAGAGCTGCTCTGGATTCGCATTCAGCCCAGGGAAAGGCCTCTCCTCCTCACAGCACCGGAGCTGCTCTGGAGTCCCAGCCAGCCCCAGGGAAGGCCTCTCCCCTCACAGCACCAGAGCTGCTCTGGATTCGCATTCAGCCCAGGGAAAGGCCTCTCTCCCTCACAGCACCGGAGCTGCTCTGGAGTCCCAGCCAGCCCCAGGGAAGGCCTCTCCCCTCACAGCACCAGAGCTGCTCTGGATTCGCATTCAGCCCAGGGAAAGGCCTCTCCTCCTCACAGCACCGGAGCTGCTCTGGATTCGCATTCAGCCCAGGGAAAGGCCTCTCCTCCTCACAGCACCGGAGCTGCTCTGGAGTCCCAGCCAGCCCCAGGGAAAGGCCTCTCCTCCTCACAGCACCGGAGCTGCTCTGGAGTCCCAGCCAGCCCCAGGGAAGGCCTCTCCTCCCTCACAGCACCGGAGCTGCTCTGGATTCGCAGTCAGCCCAGGGAAAGGCCTCTCCTCCTCACAGCACCGGCATTTCCCTCACAGCCCCTGGGGACAATCACCTGCGCGCTGCCGCTCCTGCAAGCACAAAATGCCTTTTAAATATTAACTCACCCGTGTTGCTGCTCTTCTGGTGAATCCCCCCTGCTGGTCTGCAGGGACACGGGGAGCCCAGCACGGTTTGCAGGGAACTGTGCCAGGTTTTGCCTGCTCCAATTCCACACCGGCTGCTCAGCACTCAGGCCCGGTGAGTCACAGCCTCTCTCTCCTCTGCAGCAGCCCGGATCTGAGGGAGAAAACCTGCACAAATCACCCCAAAAACACAGCCTGGGAGCTCTGCAGCCTGCCTGGGCATCCATTCTATCCTGAAAGGCTTCCGAGTGCCCCCTGAGCTTGCAGCGCTGCAATGGAGCAAAGTTATCCCGAAATTCACGGTGTCTGTGCTCTGGGTTGGTATAAAGGGAATCCCAGCTCCCAGTTCAAACCAGTTTGGGTTCCCAGCTCAGGCAGGCCGTGCAGCTTCAGCACCTCAGACAGCAGCACCAGAGTGTCCCCAGCGCACCCTGAGGGGACGCATCCCCTGTGCTGGCATGGCAGGGACATTTCCAGCTCGCACCGTTACTCCTGGGCAGGGACAGGAACCCGGCACAGCTCTGATCCCTTGCCAAGACTTTTCAGGATTCTGTCAAGCAGCCAAATGTCGGGAGTGTGTTGTGTTTATTAATAAATAAAAGTGTTTGTAGCGAGCAGCCACCTGGCTTTGTGCTGGTTTTTTTTCCACCCCACTCTGGTTCCACTTTCATCCTCAAATGTTATTTCATGCTTTCTCCCCGTTCTCTTTGGTCTGAACAGTTTATTCTACTCAAAACCGAGATTAATTCAGTTTCTCTGCAGAACTGGATTCTCTGGATTTGTTTTTTCCCCTCCTTTTGCTGCACAATATTCCCAGGACAGGGATGTTTTCCAGTCTCCATCTTTTCAGCCCAGCAGCTGCAGATCTGGAACACGTTGATTCAGGCCGGGCTTTATCCTACACCAAAAGCAGCAATATAAAATCCAAGTTATTTATAAGATATATATTTGCATCTCAACGTGGAAGGGAAGAGGGACTGAATATCCAGCCTTTCCCAACACACAGATTTCTCTTAAAAGGGATTTGTTGTGTGCTGATCTGAAGGAATGAGAGTAAATCCAAAGTTTTTTGTATTTAAAGGTAGAATTGTGGTGCTCCCCTCTCTGGCCTCAGAGAATCCCCAGTCCAGCAGGCCCAGAGCAGCTCAGCTTCCACTCAGGGCTATTGCACGTGTGACAGGAATTACAGCTGGAGCAGGAATTCCTAAAATTCCCCATCCTTAATTCCCACTTAACCCCAACAGGGGGTCAGTTCCAAGGGAACAGGCAGAGCTGGCAGCTCAGGTGGGCACAGTGACCCCATGGTCACCACAGGGTCACCCACCTCGGCCTCCCCATCCCCTCAGGAGTGCCCAGTGCCACCACATCCCCTCAGAGTGACCTGTCCAGGACCTCGGGCCCTCAGAGTGACCTGTCCACCACCTCAGCCCCTCACAAGTGCCCAGTGCCACCTCAGAGTGACCTGTCCAGGACCTCGGGCCCTCAGAGTGACCTGTCCACCACCTCAGCCCCTCACAAGTGCCCAGTGCCACCTCAGAGTGACCTGTCCAGGACCTCGGGCCCTCAGAGTGACCTGTCCACCACCTCAGCCCCTCACAAGTGCCCAGTGCCACCTCAGAGTGACCTGTCCAGGACCACATCCCCTCAGAGTGACCTCTCCACACCTCAGCACCTCACAAGTGCCCAGTGCCCCCACACCCCCCTCAGTGACCTCTCCACCACCTCAGCCCCCGCCCCTCATCTCGGTGTCCCATTGGCTGCCACAGCCGTCACTCAGAGCCAGGAACAGCGCGCACATAATCTCAAGCACCCATTGGCTACCACGGCCGTCACTCAGAGATAAACCCCGCCCGACAACGTGGGCGATGGTGGGTGGAGCGCGCACTCCCGCCCTCTCGCTCTCATTGGCTGCTACGCCTGTCACTCAGTTTCAAACCCGCCCCTCCCCGTGTGTGTGGGAGGGTATCCCCCCTCCAGGCGGCTCTGGACACGCCCCAGCCCCCTCTTTAACCTTATTTCGATGGCCCATTGGCCGCCACACCCATCACTCAGAACCAAACCCCGCCTCTTCCTTCCGCGTGCGCTGGGCGGGCGGGGCGCGCACTCCCTCTCCCTCCCCCTCATCTCAACAACCCATTGGCCGCCGCACCCGTCACTCAGAGCCAAGCCCCGCCCCCACGAGGGCAGCGCGCCCCCTGGCGGCCACGCCGTGCCCCCCCCCCCCCCGTACGTGCTGCGTGTGCGTCACCCCCCCGCCCCCTCCCGCGCGCGCGCGCTGCCGTCGGCGCGTCCCCCGCGCGCGCTCCGCGTCACCGCTCACGGGCCTGGCGCGCGGCGGCCGCGGCCGGACGGACGCTCGGACCGGGCCGGACACACGGACGCGGCCCCGCTCCTCTCCCTTCTCCCGCCCGTTGGCTCCGGAGCCGCCCGGCGGAGCGGCCCGAGCGCGGCGGCGGCGGGTTCGTTTTTGTGTGTGGGGGGGGCGCGCGGCCTGGTGCGCGCGGCGGATCCCGCCGCTCGCGTAGCGCGGCCGCCCGGGCTCGCTGAGGGGGAGGCCCGGGCTGGGGGGGGGGGGTGGGAAACGAAGGCTCCCGGCCTGAGGAAACGCCGCCGCCATGAGCGTGGAGGCGTACGGCCCCAGCTCGCAGACCCTCACCTTCCTGGACACCGAGGAGGCCGAGCTGCTCGGCGCCGACACGCAGGGCTCCGAGTTCGAGTTCACCGACTTCACCCTCCCCAGCCAGACCCAGACCCCGCCCGGGCCCGGCCAGGCGGGGCCGGCGCAGGGCCAGGGGCCCCCGGGCGCGGGGCAGGGCGCTCCGGGCCCGCTGGAAGCGCAGGTGAGGGCCCGGCCGGGGGCGGCGGGCGCGGGGTCCGGAAGGGGCGGGCGGGGTCGGGCGCTCGGGCCCGCCGGGCAGCGGCAGCCGCGTGTGGGGGAGCCCCAGAGGCGGAACCCGGGCGGGTTGTTCGGGGAGGAAACGCGGGCCGGCTGGCCCAGTCGCGATAGCTATGTGGTTGCGATAGGGGGAGGAAAACCACCGGGGCCGGGTGTCAGTTCGGGATCTTTCTCCTTAAAACAAACGCGGGGTTTGGGGCTGTTTGCTCATCGGAAGTTGGGCGCTGAGGAAATTAGGGTTTTTTACTTCCCCTCGCTAAAATACGCGTTAAGTTCTTCTTGTTATTGCTGTGAATGTTGGTTTTTTATTTCAGTTTCCACTTTCTTTGCCGCACGGTTGTTGGGCTGGTTTGTTTGGGGGTTGTGTGGCAGGGCCAGGCCCGAGACAAGTTCTGAGCTCTGCTTCCTCGTGGCTCAAAAGCAGCTTTTAGTTTTGGGGGTTTTTACAGCTTTATTATTACAGCTGGTGGCTGGTACCCAAAAGAGAATGAAATTGTATTTATTTAGCAACTCACAGCTCGTAGGCAGGGGAGGAATTGGGATTACAGCTCCCAAGAAGTGCTGCAAATGGAGATAACAATCTCAGCGTGCCCGTAGTAAACAACAAAAACACCAGAGAACTCTCCCGTATTTTTAAAAAAGCCACACTTTGCTCCAGTTTGAAGATCATGGGATACTCAGGTGCCTCACAGAAATCCCATTATTAACCGTGAAATGCTTGTGCATCACCCACGCTGAGGGATGAGTTCAGACAGGAGCTGAGAGCTCTGGGTGGGTTTGTATCCCCAACCAACCATCCTGGACCTGCTTTTTGTGCTTTTATTCGCAAATCTGCCCCAGCTGGGTCTGAGGGCAGCACAGCAGCTCCACGGGTGTGCAGGGCAGCGCTCAGGGAGGATTTCCCCTGTCCTGGGGGCTACCCCAGCTCAAATTAAATCAGTTTTTGTGCCTGAAAGTGCTCGGTGACAGCAGGGATGTGCTCAGGTCGCTGTGGTTGTGAGTCAGAGCTCAGAGTTTTGGGTTATTTTCTGTTTGTTTGCACCTTTTGGATTTGGTAGAATTGATCCAGTTTAGCCATAAAATCATAATTGTTTTCTGCCAGCAGTAAAATCTCTGTGACTGTACATTAAAAGGGAATTTTAATCACATGTAATTTTAAACCTTTAATGGGTTGTGATCACTCCAGAGCTCCCAGTAGGGATCTGTGGCCGAGGAGAAGAAAAACCACCCCAAAATCAGCCTCATAAGCTGAAAGTCCAGACAAGAGGATTATTAATTGGCCTTTTTTTTGTCTAAACATGTTTGAAAACCTTTGAAGTCAAAGTAAAAAAAAAAATAAAAGCTCTGGAGAGCACCTTCAGGTACTGGTTTTGTCTCCTGGCTAAAAGAAAGGGATTTTATGTTGATTTTTTAAAAAAATCAGGGTGGTTTTGAGTTTCTGCAAACTTTTGTGGTCATCCTGGAGCTCACTTTGACGTTAGAAATGCCATTTTTGGGGAGGGACTCTGAGAGGTGGAGTGAAGTAAAACAAAGCCCAGGATCTGCTCAGACCTGCCCCTCTCAAGGGCTCAGGGCTGATAAAATCACAACATCTGGGTTTTGAAAAGGTTCTGGGCAAAATTTTTGCTGCCCTCACCAGATAATTGAAGTTTGTCGTTCTTTTTGGCATCTTAAATAATGACTTCTCCAATTGATCAGGATTCGCTTAATGAAATATTAGCCCTGTGATTATAATTAAAGCCAATTAAATAAAAAAATGTATTTGGAGCTGAGAAATATTGGGGGTGGGAACTTCTGCTCTGCTGTTTCTGGGGTCTTTTTAAGATGAGTTGAGCAATGCAAGGCACCTCATGTTGTAGGAAAATTTGATGTATTTAGTTAAAAAGAATGTCTTTTCTCTATATATTTAATTAACAGTTTAATAGTGTTACAATTGATTAATGGTCGATAGCCAAAAGTACGAGTAGAGCACAAATATTTTCTATAGGACACTGTATTTCCATTGTTTTCTGGAATTAAGCAAACACAAGAATCGATTTTCTGAAGTGTTTTAGGAGGAATTTAAAATCCTCAGAGCAGGATTTTCAATTATTGTGCCACCACATCCCCTCAGAGCAGCTGTGGCAGCCCCTGGATCCCTGCAGTGCCCAAGGAGCACCCCGGGATCATTGGGGGGTGCTTTAGGGTCCCTTCCCACCCTAAAGCACCCCTGGATCCCTGCAGTGCCCAAGGAGCACCCCGGGATTAGGGAAGGTGCCCCTGGAACCCCAAACCTGCCCTGGATCCCTGCAGTGCCCAAGGAGCGCCCCAGGATCACAGGGGGTGCCCCTGGCTGGGCTTTGGGGTCCCTTCCCACCCCAAACCATCCCTGCAGTGCCCAAGGAGCACCCTGGGTTTATTGGGGTGCTTTAGGGTCCCTCCCCACCCCAGAGCCCCCCGGGTTCTCTGCGTTCCCCCTCGGTGTGTGTGAGCCGGCTCCCGGGGAGCTCCCAGCCCGGCCAGGTTCCATCCCAGCCCTCACAAAGGCCGTGCTGTGCGGGCCGGACCAGCCCTCGTCGCTCAGGTCCCGTCTGGAGGCGCCGCTCCCTCCCGGGCGAGGCTTTCCCGACTTCCTCCTGGGGAGGGGAACGGGAACGGCCCTGGCTGGGACAGGGAGAGCACGAACGGCACAGCTGCCTTTGCCAGCCGGCCCCAAGGGGGTTTGGGGGCTCCCTGGGCTGTGGGGGGAGTCCAGCAGCGGGGTGGTGCCAGAGCCTCGCTGTGGGGCTGTGCCGGCACTGATCCTGCTGGAGCTCAGGTGCACTTACGGTTCTTGTTGCAGCTTGGATGTGGCACCTGAAAGCAGAGCTGGGTGAGGAGCAGCAGGTGTGCCCCCCTGGGGCCCTGTGTGTGCCCCCCTGGGGCCCTGTGTGTGCCCACCTGGGGACCCACAGGCAGCAGGATCCCACAATCCCGGCCTGATTTGGGATGGAAAACCCAAATCCTGAAAGTCCCAGAGGCAGGGACAGCCCCCTCTGTGCCAGGCTGCTCCAGACCCCTCCAGGGGCATTCCCAGGGTTGGAGCAGCCCCAGCTCCCTGAGCCCCGCTGGTGTCTGTCCCCGAGCTCTGTCCTGGCCTGGTTGGTGTCCCAGGAAGGTTTTGGGGCCAGCACAGGAGCAGCCCCGGCGGTGTTTGGGAGCAGCTCTGTGGCTCCTCAGTGTTGAGCCCGGAGCTGCCAAACTGGCCGCGCCAGGAGCTGCAGCCAACACTCTGTGGAGCGGAGCAGTGCCCCCTGGCACCGGCACTGCCCGTGCCAGGCTCAGTGCAGGGCTGGCATCACACCAGGGTGTGCAGCAGTCACCTCCTCGTGCATGTGGAGCGGAGCAGTGCCCCCTGGCACCAGCACTGCCCGTGCCAGGCTCAGTGCAGGGCTGGCATCACACCAGGGTGTGCAGCAGTCACCTCCTCGTGCATGTGGAGCGGAGCAGTGCCCCCTGGCACCAGCACTGCCCGTGCCAGGCTCAGTGCAGGGCTGGCATCACACCAGGGTGTGCAGCAGTCACCTCCTCGTGCACGGCCTGCCGAGGGCTGGGGCTGCTCTGCACAGCCCAGGGACATCACTGCTGCCTCCTGCCCCTGGCACTGCTGCCTTTTCTGCCTCAAAAACCCCAAACCGAACCCAAACCTTGCTGCTTTTTTAAAAACACAAAGGCAGCTAAAAATGTATTAAAATCAACCAATCTTAAAATAACATTGTGGGGTAGGAATGCCTGGGAATGCTTGGAAGGAGTTCAGATCAACTCTAGGCTTTGAATCCCACCTGGGCCAGATCTGGCCTTGTTTATCTTCTCTGGAATGGCTCTATCAGTTGGAATTGGAGATTGGAAGAAATGGAGATTTGAAGTGTGCATTTATGTGCTGACACCTGTGCAGAGTCTGTTCCACACCGAGCTGGTGGGATTTGCCCTCACCCCACTCAGGGGGTTGTGGGGTTTGATTCCTTTTTCCGTCTTCCCTTTTGCGCTTTCAGTTCCTTTGGGCTGATTGTTCCTATTAAAAGGCAGAGCTTGGAGATAACACCAATAAAAGGCAGCCCATTTATTTATTTATTTATTTTATTGTATTTAAATGCTCCTCATTTCATTTGCAGGGCTGGTGGCTTTGAGGGCAGGCCCTGATGGCTCAGGGCAAGTGGGAAGTTGGCTTTGGACTTTAACTCGTGCAATTGGCTGTTAAATTTTTAATGTGGATCTCTCTAAATGAGGAATAAGCTGAGTTTGCTTCGTTACAGCTTGAAGAGGGCAACTTTTAAATTTATTTTTTGATGCCTTTTACAAAAGGTTTTGTGTCCTCAGCTTTCTGTCAGAATTAAGTTGCACCTCCCAGAGAAATTGCATTAAACCCAAGTTGTTCAAATATTGTATTCAGAGACAAAGGCCTTGAGTGATTTTTGTCCTATTTGGCTGGTTAAAATTTATAAATAAATCCTAACTTTACAAACATTGGGAGTGTTAATTATCCCTTTGATAGGGAAATGACCCCAGCCCTCCCCTCAGCTGTGCTGTGAATATCCCAGTCACTTTGGTGGCCCCTTTCCCACATTTCCCACTCAAAATTAACATGGATTAAGGTAAACTTCTCCCTGTTCAGCTTTTGCTGGGATCTTGGCTAAAGAAGGCAGAGAATAAACCAAATGTTGGGGTCTTTCCCAACTCAGTATTGAGGTGCTGAAGCCCCTCAGGGCTGGAGAAGTTAAACCAGGACACCAAGGGGCAGCAGCTGCAGTGGCCATGCCAAAATCCCAGTGTGACATCCGCACCTCCTGGTGCTAAAAGTGCCCAAAAGTGGAGTGAGTTTGGTCAGGAGAAAGGCTGGGGGTGGAAAGTTGCTGAGACAGCACCAAATGTTGCAGAATTCTGTGATTCTGGCAGCCCATGGTGGGTACAGGAATAGGTGGGGGAAATTCCTGTTCCCAGGTAGGTCCCTGGGATAAAAAGAAGGGTGAGAAAGCAGCTGCTGGAATTGGTGAAATGGAATTTTGTTATGTAAGGCTGTGGAAAAATGCAACTGCAGAAAAGCAATCTCCCTGTTTTCCTGCTTATCAGTTGGAGTTCAAATAATCCTGTGAAACAGGAGGTGATGGAGCAGGTATTGATTGTGGGATTGTGTGGAAAAACACAATCTGCAGGAAAGCAATCTCCTCCTGGAAACTGTATCCCAACTTATCAGCTGGAGTGAAATAATCCTGGAAAACAGGAGCCAATCCTGGTAATGGGGATCCCTCTGTAGTGGTGTGCATTTAGTGCTCTTGGCAGCGTTTTCTGTGGGGGTTTTCAGTGCCACCTGAGATTTGGGGTTCATTTGGGTGTGCGCCCCAATCCAGGTGAATGGCCCTGATGGGATCCTGCAGAATGGAGCTGTGGATGAGAACGTGGCCAAGACCAGCCAGCTCCTGGCAGAGCTCAACTTTGAGGAGGACGAGGAGGACACCTACTACACCAAGGACCTGCCTGTGCACGCCTGCAGGTGGGGCTGCCAGAGGGGACAGGGGCAGGGGCCTGGGAACGGCTCCCTGTGCTGGTCCTGAACAGATTTGGAGCTGCCATGTCCACTTCTGGCCAGCTCAGAGCTCCCTGGGGGATAAATCCCAGGCTCAGCCACCCCAGTGATGGGAATATTAAATATTGAGAATATTTAATATTAAATTATTAATTAAATATTAAAATCTTTGTGACTCACAGCAGGAATTTGGCTCCTGTTTGGTGCTTCTCCCAGCACTGATGTTCCCCAGTTTCCGTTCCCCTTTATTTCTGTGCCCTGTAAATCCAGCTAGAGCCCGGGTTTGGATTTTCCTCTCAGCAATAACCACTCGCTCGCTGCCTTTCCCTTTGCAATTGCAGCTACTGTGGGATCCACGACCCTGCCTGTGTGGTTTACTGCAACACCAGCAAGAAATGGTTCTGCAACGGCCGTGGGAACACCTCTGGCAGGTAAGGGATGGAACCATGAAACAGAAAATCAACTCTGTACCCATTTCCTCTTTTCACTGTGAGAGCACCCATGCACTGAGCAATGTTCCCTGCATGGATGGAGAGCCAGACACAACTTTGTACCCATTTCTTTCACTCTCAGAGCTCCCGTGCACTGAGCAATGTTCCCTGCATGGATGGAGAGCCAGACACAACTTTGCACCCATTTCTTTCACTCTCGGAGCTCCCGTGCACTGAGCAATGTTCCCTGCATGCATGGATGGAAAGAGCCACATCCTCCCCAGTGTGTGCCACAATAAATAGATTTATCAGTGTGTTACCAATTGCTAACAGAGGTGTTTCTGGTGTGGAAGTGCTGTAAACTGAGCTGTAATGTGAGCTGTAACCCGTGCTGTTTGCCTGCAGCCACATTGTGAACCACCTGGTGAGAGCCAAGTGCAAGGAGGTGACGCTGCACAAGGACGGGCCCCTGGGAGAGACGGTGCTGGAGTGCTACAACTGCGGCTGCCGCAACGTCTTCCTGCTGGGCTTCATCCCAGCCAAGGCTGACTCCGTGGTGGTTCTGCTCTGCAGGTCAGACAGGCCTCTGCTGCTTTCATAAACAGCAGCCCTAGCTTGCCTTTTGGCCCAAAATGCATTTTATATTCTGGTTTGCCACCCTTGTTCCTTCAGGTGGTCGCACAGAGTTCAGGGGTGCAGGTGGATAATGCAGCAAAGGGAGTTCTGTTGTGTTGGGCAAACATCTTAGTGCTGTAGAAAAGTATTTTTTTCCTAAATTCTGCATTCCTTAATGGAAGGAAGGTGTTTTTCCTCTGTTTTGAGCTTTGGAAGAGGCACAGCTCCGTTCAGGAAGTGACTCTGGAGCATGGAACAGTGACTCTCACTCAGGGTGTTTTTCTCTAAGCTCACAGAGTCATCTGAGGCCACAGTAAATCAGAAATTGTTCTGACAGGCTAAGTCATAACTAAAAATTTATAATTGTGAGTGTTTTAATTGGGTGCTGTCACTGTGTGGTTGCTGGTAGAAATTGTATTTCTGTGGAGGAAGTTCTGTTTGGGAAATAAGCTCTTTTTCTGGTCTGTGTGTGCACAGTCCTCATGGAGTATAACCACCTCCAAAGGTGTCACATGCAATATTTCAAATGCATTGTCCTGGAAACACCCAAGCAACACTTCTCACAATACTGAAAGAACTGAGAAATGGATTTTCCCAGCAGCCTGGGGTTGTTTTGCTTGGGTTTTCCCTGGTTTTTGAGCAGTTTCCGGGGCACACCAGCCCAGCTTTCACCCTCCACAGCAGACTGGTGTGAAGTCACAACTGCTGGCTGTGCTTGGTCCTGCAGGCAGCCCTGTGCCAGCCAGAGCAGCTTGAAGGACATCAACTGGGACAGCTCCCAGTGGCAGCCCCTGATCCAGGACCGCTGCTTCCTCTCGTGGCTGGTGAAGATCCCCTCAGAGCAGGAGCAGCTCCGTGCCCGCCAGATCACGGCCCAGCAGATCAACAAGCTGGAGGAGCTCTGGAAGGTACAGCCTGGCCTTTGAGGGGTTGGTTTCACCAGTTCTGAGGTTGTTTTCAAGGGAGGACAAGAGTTCTAGGAGCTCTGGAAGGCAGAAATCCCCCAAGGTTTAAATCCTGCAGTGCTCAGAATGTTCAGGGAATTGTTGAAAGCTTCACCAAGCTGAAAACCAGCTTTCCTTGCTCATATCAAGACTTCCAAATAGTTCTGCTTTAAGTGGTGCAGGGAATTGTTGCTCATTCAGTTATGGGGGTTTTGAGAGGTTTCTTGTGCATCCTTTAAAATTAAACTGTGTTTAATATGATTTGTAATTCCCTGGTGTAGCTTCAAGGGTGGTTCCACCTTGATATCACTCCCAGTATCAGTAAAACGCAATTTTACCAGTCCTGCTGTCAAATTTTATACTTCACAGTGTGAAACAAAACATCTCTGCTTTTATTTCCAGGAAAATCCATCTGCAACCCTCGAAGACTTGGAAAAACCTGGCGTTGATGAGGAACCCCAGCATGTCCTGCTTAGATATGAAGATGCTTATCAATACCAAAATATATTTGGTCCTCTGGTCAAGCTTGAGGCAGATTATGACAAGAAACTCAAGGAATCTCAGGTAAAATGTGTGAGATTTTCCTTTTGAGGGACTCTTGACACTGCTGGGGTCAAACATGGAATCACAGCACAAAACCCTGAGTGCAATAAATAAATAAATGTTGGAATTGCTGTGGTGTAGCAGCACTGGGATATCAGCAGTGATGGTGCTGTGAGAGCAGGGAGAGGAGAGGAAAATCCTCACAGTGAGGGGTTTTAGGAGCTTAAAACACTTGAGCGCTTCTGACCTTTGCTGTGCTCAAGTTCTCCTTCCCAAACACCACCTTGTGCCCCAGAAGTGCAGCTGTTTGTTCCCCTCAGAAGCTGCAGGTCCCTGGCAGGGCAGTGGGAGTTCTGAGAGCTCCTGGAAACATTTCCTGGGTGTTTGAACTGGGGGAGAATTCCACAGCTGGTGAGCAGGACTTTGTTTCTCATCATTAGCTCTCAGAACAGAGTTCACCTTCTGCAGGTGCTGTGAACTCAGCACAGGAATGAACACAGATTTTGGTGACATGGGAACAGAAAGTTTTGTCATTTCTGCACTGTTCTGAAGCACAGGACTGTGGTGGTTGGCAAACAATTCTTCAGGAGAATAAAAGCTGCTCTTTTCTTTACCCTCAGACCCAAGATAACATCACAGTCAGGTGGGACCTGGGCTTGAACAAGAAGAGAATTGCTTATTTCACTTTGCCAAAGACTGATTCAGGTGAGGACACCTGGGCTGTCTCTTTGTCAGGGGTTTTTGTACCTTCTGAATAAAAGCAGAGTTCGGAGCACTCTGAGGCTGGCCTGGGGAGGCTCTGGAAGGGTTTGTGGTTGCTCAGAGCTTTTTTCCCCTTTTCCTTTGCAGACATGCGCCTCATGCAGGGAGATGAGATCTGTCTGAGGTACAAGGGAGACCTGGCCCCCCTCTGGAAAGGAATTGGGCACGTGATCAAAGTTCCTGACAGTATCCTTTACCTGGGGAGCCTCAGCAGGGCTGCCCAAAGCTGGAGTCAGGAACAAGCCATTCATTATCTCCAAAAGTAATTCTCTGCTAATTTAAAATTCGGGCTGGTTGGGGGAGGGAACTGCTGGAGAAAATCACCAAAATTGGGGAGAATAAAATTCAAATTTTTGCTCGAAATTACTACTTAACGAGGTTCTACAGATTATGGTGATGAGATCGCCATCGAGCTGAGGAGCAGCGTGGGAGCTCCCGTGGAGGTCACCCACAACTTCCAGGTGGATTTTGTGTGGAAATCCACTTCCTTTGACAGGTATGGAGGCTGCACCTCACAGCTGGGCAGGCACTCGCTGTACACTTCTGATCTTTGCCTTCACTGAGTGTTTTCCAACCAAAAGGTTTGTGTTGGTTTGGCAGCAGCCACCAGAGATCCCAGTGTGTGGTGAGCACCTGGTGCCTGGTTCAGAAATGGAATTAATGCACAAAATGGCCAGTTGGTCTCATTTGAAGGGTTTGTTGCAAACACATCAAAGGGAGAAATTTACCTTATGTGTAATAATAATTGAAACAGAAGAAGAAAAACAATTTTACAGTTGAGCTTCCTGAAATCGCTTTAAACTGTTAAAATATCAAAATTTGGCTGTGGAGCCCAGAGGCTTCAGCCAAGTCTGTGTTTGGTAAGCCAGGAGTTGGCTTCTTATCCTATTATTAGAATTTCCTATTAGTAATAGATCCTATTACTATTATCTCCTCTGATCCTATTATTTTATTCATTATGGCTGCAAATTTTCTTCAAATCTTGCACCTAAATTCCTGTCACAGGTTCTTGCACCTGAAATTACTGTCCCAGATTGTGTCACCAAAGCTGCTGTTCCTGTCCACATTTTCTGGGAATACCTTGTAATGTTCACGTGGGGAAAAAGCAAAATCTGAGTTCTCAGAGTGTAATTTCTGTGATTTTAATTCTGTTAATTCTGTATTTCTGTGATTTTAATTCTGTTAATGAGTGTTGGCTGTTCTCTTTCCCATTTGTGTCTGATACCTGCTGTAGGACCCCTGGGGGTGCTTCACACTGATCTTTAGGAATAATTTTCCTGCTTTTCCTTCATTTCAGGATGCAGAGTGCTCTGAAAACGTTTGCAGTGGACGAGACCTCGGTGTCTGGGTACATTTACCACAAACTGCTGGGCCATGAGGTGGAAGATGTCATCATCAAATGCCAGCTGCCAAAACGCTTCACAGCCCAGGGACTCCCTGATCTCAACCACTCTCAGGTGACCTCATCTCCTCTCTGTGCCCAGGATGACAGAAAGGATTTAGAAATAGAGGTTAAACAACTTAAACCCTGTGCTGGGAATGTTAAATAACAATAAATCCTTTTTATTTTTTAGGTTTATGCTGTCAAGACCGTCCTGCAGCGTCCTCTGAGCCTTATCCAGGGTCCCCCTGGCACTGGGAAAACAGTGACATCAGCCACCATCGTGTATCACCTGGCCAGGCAGGGCAACGGGTGAGAGCTGCTCTCTGAGCCTTCATGCTTGAGCTTGATTCATGCAAAGAATCACCTTGATTAAAAAACAAAAATAATTTGTGTCATTGAACTGTACTGTCTGGGGAGACTTGGGCTCGGTGCATGTTTTTAGTGGTGTGTTACTACTTTATTTTATTGCAAGTCTGGTGGAAAGAAATTCCGGTTTATTGAGGTTGTTGGCTGATTTTGGCAGGCCTGTGCTGGTGTGTGCCCCCAGCAACATCGCTGTGGATCAGCTGACAGAGAAGATCCACCAGACTGGCCTCAAGGTGGTTCGTCTGTGTGCCAAGAGCCGCGAGGCCATCGACTCCCCCGTGTCCTTCCTGGCCCTGCACAACCAGATCAGGAACATGGACAGGTGAGCAATGAGGAAAAACCTCTGGGTTTGGTGTTTGTGGTGGGCACAGCTGAGGGGTGCCGTCACTGCTGTTTGCTTGATGGGTTTATTTTACTTTAGTTACAAATCACTTGCACTGCAATCCTACAGAGTTGGTTGGGCTGTAAAGCAAAATTCCTGGGGTTTTTTTCAGCATGCCAGAGCTTCAGAAACTGCAGCAGCTCAAGGATGAGACTGGAGAACTTTCCTCTGCTGATGAGAAGCGTTACCGGGCGCTGAAACGCACGGCGGAGCGGGAGCTGCTCATGGTGAGGGCCTGGGGCTGATCCCCCAGATCCCTGGGGCTGATCCCCCAAATCCATGCTGCCCCCATCCCCGTGCCCCATCCCGTGCTAACCGTGCTCCCTGCTGTCCAGAACGCCGATGTGATCTGCTGCACGTGTGTGGGAGCTGGGGACCCCCGGCTGGCCAAGATGCAGTTCCGCTCCATCCTCATCGACGAGAGCACGCAGGCCACCGAGCCCGAGTGCATGGTGCCCGTGGTGCTGGGGGCAAAGCAGGTAAAGCCCTGGGTGCCCTGAAAGGGGTTTGGGGACACAGCAGGAGCAGCACTGAGCAGCCACCTTCCAGTGCAGGCACACAGCATTCTTCATTTTCTAGAACATAAACTCACCTGACTTTATTTGGGCTCAGCCCTGTTCATTTTGGCTCAGCCCTGTTCATTTTGGGCTGAGCCTGTTCATTTTGGGCTCAGCCCTGTTCATTTAGGGTCAGCGCTGCTAGTTTCTGTTTCCATGGCCTGGAAGGTGTTGGTGCTGTTGGAACAATCTGGAGAGTTACCAAGATTTTAATCTAAAATGATCACCTGAAAAGAGAGTGACACTAAAGGTTTCTGAGCCTTTGGGGAGAGCTTTAGCCTATCACAAGTTGGAATGATTAATTCCTAATATGTCAGGGAATGGTTTCAACTGACAGAGAGTGGGTTTGGGTTTTATATTTAGGGGAAATCGTTTCTGTGAGGGAGGGGAGGGGCTGGGATGGAATTCCCAGAGAGGCTGTGGCTGCCCAGTCCCTGGGAGTGCCCCAGGCCAGGCTGGAGCCACCAGGGATGGTGGGAAGTGCCCCAGGGGTGGCACGGGGTGGGATTTAAGATCCTCCCATCCCAAATTACGATGCCCCGTTTTTATAGGATATTCCTGTAGGATATTTCTGTTATTCCAAACAACCTCCAGGCACCAAACTGAGCTCTCCCCAACCTCCCCACAGCTGATCCTGGTGGGTGACCACTGCCAGCTGGGCCCTGTGGTGATGTGCAAGAAGGCAGCCAAGGCTGGGCTGTCGCAGTCGCTGTTTGAGAGGCTGGTGGTGCTGGGCATCCGGCCCATCCGGCTGCAGGTGCAGTACCGCATGCACCCCGCGCTCAGCGCCTTCCCCTCCAACATCTTCTACGAGGGCTCGCTGCAGAACGGGGTCACTGCAGGTAAGGGGGCGCTGGGGCAGCCAGGGCAGCAGGAATGGACTGTGGGGACGCAGCAGGGAGCAGCACTGAGCAGCCTCATTGCCAGTGTAGGCACACCGAGTGTTTCCCTTTCCATCACAGAAACCTGGCTGAGTTCATTTGGGATCAGCCCTGTTCATTTTGTGATAGTCCTGTTCATTTGGGTTCAGCCCTGTTCATTTTAGGGTCATCCCTGTTCATTTTAGGGTCATCCCTGTTCATTTGGGCTCAACCCTGTTCATTTTGTGATAGCCCTGTTCATTTTAGGGTCAGCCCTGTTCATTTAGGGTCAGCGCTGCTAGTTTCTGATTGTTGGCCTGGAAGGTGTTGGTGCTGTTGGAACAATCTGGAGAGTGAATAAGATTTTCTATGAAAATGATACCTGAAAAGAGAGTGACACTAAAGGTTTCTGAGCCTTTGGGGAGAGCTGCAAATCTTGAGCAGGGATCAAAGCAGGCATTCTCTCATCTGGGTTTGGTTTTTTAATAAAAAAATTTGCATCACGCTTCATTTTGAGGCTCTTTGATATGGAAATTGCCGAGTGGTGTTGCTGATTTGTTCTGCTCCTGTTGCTGTGCTCCTCAGCTGACAGGGTGAAGAAAGGCTTTGATTTCCAGTGGCCCCAGCCTGACAAGCCCATGTTCTTCTACGTGACCCAGGGCCAGGAGGAGATTGCCAGCTCAGGCACCTCTTACCTGAACAGGTGAGCTCTGGGCTCTGCCCTGGCCTCGTGCAGGGCAGGGCTGGTGGCTCCTCGTGGATAAATCCTCATTTGTGGTGTGATAAAAGCCTCCCTCAGGGCTTGCAGCCCCAGCTGCTTTTCAGAGCTGCTGTTCCCTGGGCTCCTCTCACAGCAAACCAGGAGGAAAAGGCACCACCTCACCTCACTGGGTGGAGAAGGAGCAGGCCGTGATGAAATGCCTGATGTGGGTGAATTTGGGCCAGCAGGAATTGCTGATCAAGTCACATTTTGAATTCCAGTAACTCTTCAAGCAGAATTCTGAATCTCAGATTTACTTCAAAAGGGATGGAAATGCACTTTTTCTTATCCTATCCCTTTTTTCTGCACATTCAACCTTTTTTTTCAACAAATAAATGTAAAATCTGCTCCTCTTGGGTCATGGTTGTTCACGTGCCTGGCAGGGAAACCAGCCCAAATTGTGAACAAAATATCAGTGAGATATTTTTAATCTCAGTCTGTTTCCTGAGCTGCATGTGCAAGACTGGATACAGTGGAGCAGATTGTGCACACACACACAGCACAATGCCTGCCTGATAGGGGGCATTGACATTCAAAACATTCTATATTTAAAGCTTGAAGATAAAGCAGCTGAAGGATCTGGGGGATGTTTGGAATGATGCTGATTGTAAAAGTTCCTTGTGTACATTTAACTGCAGCAAGAAATCCCATTTGGAACTGAGGAGATTTTGCTGTTTGTTGTGCAGTGCTGAGGAGGGGGAGGTGAAGTCTGTGTGGTTCTGAGGCCTTTGGGATGTTGGTTTTGGCCCCAGTTCCTCTGTGCATGTCCAGAGTGAGGAGCTGGAGCTGAATTAATTGCAGTGCTTGAGCAGAATTGATCTTTCCATTGAAGCACCCTCACGTGGGAGCCTTTTCAACCCCATTAACTTGCTAAAACCTGAGTCCTGCTGGCCTGACCCTCCTTGTCCTGCCGTGCCCCTGCAGGACCGAGGCTGCCAACGTGGAGAAGATCACCACCAAGCTGCTCAAGGCTGGGGCCAAGCCCGACCAGATCGGCATCATCACCCCCTACGAGGGCCAGCGCTCCTACCTGGTGCAGTACATGCAGTTCAGTGGCTCCCTGCACACCAAGCTCTACCAGGTACTGCTGCACACAGCCCAAAAGGAAATCCTCAATGGTTTTCGTGTTTATTCCATCTTCAGGCTCAGCCTTTGTGATTTCTGAGTTGGTTTTGGTTAATACCGATCGATTTTTGAGTTGGTTTTGGTTAATATCGATCAAGTTTTGAGTTGGTTGTGGTTAATATTGATCAATTTTTGAGTTGGTTTTGGTTAATATAGATCGATTTTGGAGTTGGTTTTGGTTAATATAGATCGATTTTTGAGTTGGTTTTGGTTAATATTGATCAGTTTTTGACTTGGTTTTGGTTAATCAATCAATCAATTTTTTGAGGTTTTGAGTTGGTTGTGGTTAGAAGCAAGGAGAAGAGTTAGGAGGTACCCATGGGAACGGGGAAAGGAGGAAGGCCTGCTGAAATCTCTGTGGAAAGAGGTTGTAACAAATCCTGTGAGACACAGAAGGGAGAGGTCACTGTGGAAAACCTTGTGCCTTCCTCAGCCCTCAGTGCCAAGGGACGTGCAGGAAACCAAGCACATAAATCCTGCTGGCCACACGGTTTATGTGCTTGGGAACACATCCTGCCAGCAGTGGAACTCCTCCACCAAACAGAAAAATGAGCTGCTACAAACAGGACAATTTTGTGTTCAATATGATCTTGTTTTGCAAGATTGAGAACTTGAGCAGTGTTTTCACTGCAGGGAAGCTTGGTGGAAATATTTTTCCCTGTGCCAGGAATGATGTGTCCCTCTCACTGAGGTTTCTCAGAGCTCATTTGGATGTTTCATCCTCCAACATTTTGGAACAGTCAGAGCTTTTTGGCAGCGTCCTCAGCAGCAAAGAGCTGCTTTGCACAGTTTTGGGAAACAGGAGGACCATAAAGCTGAACATGAAAGGAATTTCTCCTGAACTGAGACTCCCTGTTCCCCTCTGGGGCAGCTGCTCAGTGCCCAGAGGAATTACCAAATCACTCCTCCCTCCAAAAACAACATTTTTCTCAGCTGATGGAAGGCTCAGTGCTGGCCAGGCCCTTTGGCAGTGCCTGCTGGTGGCAGAGCTGTTTTGCTTCCGTGCCTGAGGTGTTTTCCTGTGTTGCAGGAAGTGGAAATTGCCAGTGTGGACGCCTTCCAGGGCAGGGAGAAGGATTTCATCATCCTGTCCTGTGTGAGGGCCAACGAGCACCAGGGCATCGGCTTCCTCAACGACCCCCGGAGGCTGAACGTGGCCCTGACCAGAGCCAGGTGGGGCAGGGAGGGACAGGACACAGGGAGTGCCTTCCTTGGGGGGACTGGGGAAGGAATTCTTCCCTCTGAGGGTGGGGTGGGATTCCCAGAGCAGCTCTGGCTGCCCCTGGATCCCTGGCAGTGCCCAAGGCCAGGCTGGAGCAGCTGGAAGGGGTCCCTGCCGTGGCAGGGGTGGCACTGGATCAGATTTAAGGTCCCTCCAACCCAAACCGTTCTGTGCCATTTTTATCTCTCATCTCAGCCCCTGCCACCGTCTGGCGTCAGTACATTTGGGAAATCACCATGTCCTTCCCATTTCCAGCACAGATCCCTTCCTTTCATCTGCTGCTTTATCACTTCCACAACCATTTTGTGCCCAATTGGTTTTTTTAAGTTAATTTGATTGCAGAGAGGCTGAGGCGGAGCCCAGCACGGTGCCCTTGCCTTCCCTGCTGTTCCCAAGCCCCAAATCCAGCCCTGGGGGTTTGGTGGGACACAGAGCGAGCCTGAAGGAGGAGCTCTGTGCTGCTGCAGCCTCCTCCCAGGTGTTGAGCCACATCTGGAATGGCTGCTGTGAGCAGTTCCAGCTGCACCAGGCTCCTCCTGCAGCTCCCAGAGAGAAGAATCAGGGGCTGCTCTGCTCAACGTCCTTGTAACAAATCCCGCAGTGAATCTGGCTCCTCTGTGTGCACAGGTACGGGGTGATCATTGTGGGGAACCCCAAGGCCCTGTCCAAGCAGCCCCTCTGGAATCACCTCCTGAATTACTACAAGGAGCAGAAGGTGCTGGTGGAGGGGCCCCTGAACAACCTGAGGGAGAGCCTGATGCAGTTCAGCAAACCCCGCAAGCTCGTCAACACCATCAACCCTGTGAGTGACCCTGCTCCTGACAGCAGCCAATTAGCCCTGATGCCTTAATTAACCCTGAATGGGCGCAATGAGCCACCCACACAGCCTCACACCCCCACGGGTTTCCATTTTTGCTGCCTTTTGGTGCAGCGTGACTGCAGGGGAAGCAGCTGCTGCTGTCCCCGGGCTGAGCAAGCTTCATCATTTCTCTTTAATTGCGGGATTTTATTGGGGGCAAATCTTGAGGTGAATGAAATGAAATGAAGGAACTGGTTTGTGTAGAAAGGGAAAACTCACTTTTAACCCTCAAGCTGCAAGTTTTATACAGATTATTACTGGGGGAGCTTGGCAGCCACCACAGGACAGTGAATGGAGCAAGGGAATTGCCAGGGCCTCAGAATAGACTGAAAACTCATCAAATGTCTCACAGCTTGGGACAGGCTGCTGGAAAATCTTACTTTGGGTGTTCAGGATGTGGCTGAAATAATAATTAAAGGTTTTCTATGTGTTAGAATTAATTTCCACAACATTTGTGCGACCTGGGGAGTTTTATGGATTTTTACCCAAAATAGCTTCCACTGAGGGTGCAGTGCAAGGTTTTCTGAGGGGAAAGAATGAGGATGGATGCTAATTGCCAAAATCCCTGCAGGGTGCCCGTTTCATGACCACTGCCATGTATGATGCACGCGAGGCCATCATCCCCGGCTCTGTCTACGACCGCAGCAGCCAAGGTAAAGGAAATCCCCAAAATTCACTTTTTAAAGCTTTATTTTTCCCCTAACCAGCCCCTGAGGGGTCACATCTTACACACTTCAAACCTTGAAACTTCTTAAGAGCTTTTAAACTTGTGCAGATTTTGAATTTGTTAAAGGTTTAAACTTCAAACTACAGAAACGGAATTTGAAAACTGGAAGTGATGGATTTTGAAGACTGAAAATGTTTGGGATGAGTTTAAGGGCTGAAAATGGATTGAATTTAAGGACTGAATACGTTTGGGATAAATTTGAGGGCTGAAAATGTTTGGGATGAAGTTGAGGCTGAAATATTTGGGGTAAATTGGAGACTGAAGTGTTTGGGATGAATTTGAGGCTGAAAACATTCGGGATGAATTTGAGGCTGAAATTTTTGGGATGAGTTTAAGGGCTGAAAATGGAACAAATTTAAGGACTGAAAATGCTGTGGATGAATTTGAGGGCTGAAATGTTTGGAATTTAATTTAGCAAGTGAAAATATTTGGGATGGATTTGAGGGCTGAGAGTCTTGAGCCTGGATTTGGCTCTCTGTAAATAAATCCCAGCCTGACATGTGCAGAGCAGGTGCAAACTAAGGGGAAAAGGAGAGTGAGCAGCATTTCAGGGATCTCAGGTGCTGCTGTGAGGAGGAGGAGCTGTGGATGAGCCTGTGTTAGGTGGATGTATGGAATTCCCAGGTGTGGAATCAGCAGCGAGGCAGAGACACTGCTGCCTCTGGCAGGGGGAGCTTGGGGATTGCTCCTGGAGCAATCCCTGCAGCCCCTGCTGTGCTCTCCCATTGCTGCTGGAGCAATCCCTGCAGTGCCTCCTGTGCTCTCCCATTGCTGCTGGAGCAATCCCTGCAGCCCCTGCTGTGCTCTCCCATTGCTGCTGGAGCAATCCCTGCAGCCCCTGCTGTGCTCTCCCATTGCTGCTGGAACAGTCCCTGCAGCCCCTGCTGTGCTCTCCCATTGCTGCTGGAGCAATCCCTGCAGTGCCTCCTGTGCTCTCCCATTGCTGCTGGAGCAATCCCTGCAGCCCCTCCTGTGCTCTCCTATTGCTGCTGGAGCAATCCCTGCAGTGCCTCCTGTGCTCTCCCATTGCTGCTGGAGCAATCCCTGCAGCCCCTCCTGTGCTCTCCCATTGCTGCTGGAACAGTCCCTGCAGCCCCTGCTGTGCTCTCCCATTGCTCCTGGAGCAATCCCTGCAGCCCCTGCTGTGCTCTCCCATTGCTGCTGGAGCAATCCCTGCAGTGCCTCCTGTGCTCTCCCATTGCTGCTGGAGCAATCCCTGCAGCCCCTGCTGTGCTCTCCCATTGCTCCTGGAGCAATCCCTGCAGCCCCTGCTGTGCTCTCCCATTGCTGCTGGAGCAATCCCTGCAGTGCCTCCTGTGCTCTCCCATTGCTGCTGGAGCAGTCCCTGCAGCCCCTGCTGTGCTCTCCCATTGCTGCTGGAACAGTCCCTGCAGCCCCTGCTGTGCTCTCCCATTGCTGCTGGAGCAATCCCTGCAGCCCCTGCTGTGCTCTCCCATTGCTGCTGGAACAATCCCTGCAGTGCCTCCTGTGCTCTCCCATTGCTGCTGGAGCAATCCCTGCAGCCCCTGCTGTGCTCTCCCATTGCTGCTGGAGCAATCCCTGCAGCCCCTGCTGTGCTCTCCCATTGCTGCTGGAACAATCCCTGCAGCCCCTGCTGTGCTCTCCCATTGCTGCTGGAGCAATCCCTGCAGCGCCTCCTGTGCTCTCCCATTGCTGCTGGAGCAATCCCTGCAGCCCCTCCTGTGCTCTCTCTCCCCAGGGCGTCCATCCAACATGTACTTCCAGACCCACGACCAGATTGGGATGATCAGTGCTGGCCCCAGCCACGTCACTGCCATGAACATTCCCATCCCCTTCAACCTCGTCATGCCCCCCATGCCGCCCCCGGGCTACTTCGGCCAGGCCAACGGCCCCGCTGCAGGTGAGGGGCAAACCAGCCCGGGGGGCTCCTGGGGGGCCAGGCCGTGCCTGCCAGGCTCTCACCGCTCTGGGGGTCTGTTCCAGGCCGTGGGGCTCCCAAAGGGAAGACGGGCCGCGGCGGGCGGCAGAAGAACCGCTTTGGGATCCCTGGCGCCAGCCAGTCCAACCTGCCCAACAGCCAGGCCAGCCAGGACGTGGTGTCCCAGCCCTTCTCGCAGGGCCCCCTGACCCAGGGCTACATCTCCATGAGCCAGCCCTCTCAGATGAGCCAGCCTGGGCTCTCCCAGCCGGAATTATCCCAGGTGAGTGGAGTTCGGGATATCAGGAGCTTTGCCTGGGGTTTGTGGTGGTGACCTGTGCCTGCACCTCCTCCCTGCTGAGGGAAACGAAACTGAAACTGCTCTCAGTGACTCAGCTGCAGCGTTTGCACTGCACTGATGGGGGCATGGAGGGGAAATGTTGCTTCAGCTGACAAACAGCTCAAAACACTCTTAATTTAGGGAAATTCTGCACCAAAAAAGCAGATTTAAAAAACATAAACACTCTCAGCTTTATGGTTAACCTGGTTCTGCCTTGCACTTGGAGCTGGACACTGATGCTGAGGCTTCCCTCCCCTCTCCCCTTGCAGGACAGTTACCTTGGTGATGAGTTTAAATCCCAGATTGACGTGGCGCTGTCACAGGACTCAACTTACCAGGGGGAACGAGCTTATCAACATGGTGGAGTGACGGGACTGTCACAGTATTAGAGTGTAAGCACCCCTGTGCCTCTCCCCTGAGCCAAACTGTCCCATGCCCTGATTTAAACTGTTCCCTCCTCTAATTTATACTGTCCCTTCCTTGATTATAACTGTCCCCTCCCTTATTTAACTATCCCCTCCTCCTGGCTTAAGCTGTCCCTTCCCCCTGATTTAAGCTGCCCCCTGCCTGGTTTAAGCTGTCCCCTGCCTGGTTGAAGCCTGGCTGGGTGAGCAGGACTCCCCTAACTGAGCTCTCCTTGTGCCCCCAGGTTGAGGAAGAAGAGCTAAGCTTGTGTGGAGCTTAGTTCATCAGCATTTTATTCTGGGTAATAAAAAAAATAAAATAAAATGGATACCTGTTTTCCACTGCTAAAACTGAAGCACCACTGTGTGAGAGCAACAGGAGAAAGAAACCAACCAACGGAGAGGAGAGAGAGAAGAGAGAGGAGCGCGCGAGAGAGGAGAGAGCCACTGCTGGAGCTCACTGAGCCACGGAGCCTGAGAGAGGAGAGAGAGCCCTGAGGAAGGAACTCACCCAGCAGAGTGCTCAGCTGAGTCCCCCCAGCTCCGGAGAAGGGCCTTAACAAAGCAGGTTTCACTTCATTCCATACTTCTCTTGGCGAGCAGGGCATTATTAACCTTTCAGAGCAGATGGGGAGAGGAAAACCCTCATCTCAGAGTTGGGCTCGTTTTGCGAGGGTACTGAAAACATTTTAGCAGGAACTGTTTACATTTTAGAAGCAGAGTATCAGAGAAAGGGGGGGAATAAAAAGGAGAGAGAAAGTCCCTGCCTGGGTGAGAGCCAGCCAAGCAGAAATCAGCTGCTGCTCAACTCTGAGGTGCAGGTTTTGTTGTCCAACACTGGCTCTGAAATTTGTTGTCATCGTGTCGCCCACATTCTGAACGAGGTGGTTTTAAAGAGATTCTTTCAAAAAGAGCACTGAATTTTTTAAGAAGTTTTGTCTCTGAATTCTTAGTGGTGGACCTGGGAGATTTAGATCCTTGTTCTGAGAAGCTTATATTACAAAAAAAAACTTAAAAAAAAAAAAACCAAAAAAAATATGTTTCAAACAAAAATTAGAGCACCATCCTTGAGAACTTTCAGTGTGATTTCAAGTTGCAGCAATCAGCCTCTTCTTCCTACATGGGATAGGTTTAGAGTGAGAGGAGCCTGCGTGCTCGAGCAGGAGGGTTTCAAAGTGTTTTCTGTATGCTTTAATTGGCAACTGTCTGGACTCTACTCTGTGAAAAACAGCCTTTCTGTAAGATGAACTTCATGCTTGAAAGGGGACGGGTTCCTGTGCCCTTCGGCCCTGGAGGGAAGGTGCAGCCAGGCCTGCTTTGGTCCCCACAGCCCTGGGGAGGACCGCTGGAAATTGGGGATTATTTTGGATGGAAGGGAAGGCTCCCACCATTGCGGGAGCAGGACGGACAAACGGACAAAGCAGGCAGGTGGTGGAAGGTGGTGGCCTCTGAGAGACAGAGCTGGGTTTAGTTTGGGAGAATGGGTCAGGCTTTGGGGTGTGGAGGCAGGAGAGCACAGAGGGAGGAGTTGGAGCGAATCTTCAGGGGAAGAGAGTTTGTTCAAGCTTTGCTTTGTGCAGCAGAGCTGTGAGCCCAGCTGGGAGCAGGGCTGGGAGGAGAAGCCATCCACGCTCTGAGGGGTGTGAAACACTCACAGGGAACACTTGGGAGCTTTTCGTTTCTGTCAGGACCTTTCCTAGGAGCAGCACAGAGAGAAGTGATTCCTCCAGCCCCGTTCTTAGCAGATCCTGAGTCAGAGGAGCCTGTACCTCCCAGCTGGGCAGCAGCAGAGATTGATCAGAGCCTGGCTGTTCTCAGCCTGAGTTAAGCTTTACACTCAAAGGGCTCCAAGCGTTTCTAGTCCTTTTTTGGGGGGGAAAACTCAAAATACCTCTCATCTGAATGTACTTAAACAGCTCAGAGCCCCTTTTGTACCCGGGGAGGGGGGACCCTTCCATTGCTGTCCTTCCTGCAGATCCTGCCCTGGGTTTGCTGGACTTGCCCCAGAGCAGCCCTGGTGTGGAGCACCCCCAGCCCGGGGGGGAGCTGCAGAAACTGCAAAAACCACAAAAATCTCAACTCACAAACCCATTCTTTTCTCATCCAAAGCCTCCAGAGTTTAGATTCTAAAGCAGTGAAAGAATGGAGACACAGGCCACCTTCCTTCCTCGTGAGATGGACTTGTTTTATTTATTAACATTGCCGAAGGGCTTTTTAATTTTTTTTCCTTGGTAGGCAGCATAGTGGCGTAGATTTTCGGGTAGGTTTAAGCTGAACCCCTCTGTGCAAAGCTTTCCATGAGTATTGTAGCCCCCTCCTCTGCCCTCACCCTTTATTTCACTGCTGGGAATGCTTGCCTCTGCTTCGTGCTGGTTTTTTCCTTTGTAGCAGTTTAAACTCTTTTTGAGTTTTACAAATCCAGACATCAGTGCTAGCACGGTGTTAAAACTATTTTCTTTTTTTTTTTTTAATTAATTAATTTTTTTTTGTCTCAGTTTTGTTTTAAAACCTGTTTGTCATCAATTAAAAAAAAAAAAAAAAACAACAAAAAAAAGAATAAACAGCTCTTGCATTCAAGGTGGCCCCTAAGTTTCAATGAGGAAACCATGCAACGTTCATTAAAGCTTTAGTCTGATTGTATAAACTTCAAGTTTATTACTTTTTTTAAACACGAGACTAGTACAAAAGTGGGGGGTGTGCATAGCAGAGGGGGTGAGCGACTCGACTGGGAGGACTGGGAGTACTGGGAAGGGCCTCCGCTGTCCTGCAGCCCCAGGGTGTGGGGAGCTCCCCCTGCCCTGCAGCAAACGCAGGGATGGCTTTGCAGGGATGGCTTTGCCCTGCCAGCCTGGGGCTGGGTGAGCCCAGCCCTGTCCTGGCTCTCACTGCCCCGGGGTGGCACAAACCCGGCAACACTTCGAGGGTTTCTTCCCCTGCCCATCTAAACTCAGAATTGAATGGCTCCTGCTGGCTGGAGTGAAGCCCTTTAAACACTGAAATGGAGCAGAGCAGAGCGGGGTGGGAAACACCAGCATTATTGGGAATGGGAATTCAGCTCAAGCTGCTCCAGGCTGGCTCTTCAGCTCCACGATTTGGGTGTGAAAACAACAAAAAAACCCCATCCCAAGGCTCCGCGTTTTGGGTGTGAAAACAAAAAAAAAACATCCCAAACCTCCACATTTTGGGTGTAAAAACAAACAAAAAAAAACATCCCAAGGCTCCGCGTTTTGGGTGTGAAAATAACAAAAAACCCATCCCAAGGCCACCCCAGTGGTTGAACCCTCAGTGCTTCCCCTGGGGGAGGAGGTGGGAAAACCATCAGAGCTCAAGGAGAAAGCGGCAAAAAACAAACCCCAAAAGCTGCACTAGGGCTTCACAGTTCAAAATAAAGAGAAGAAATTCAAGTCTAACTGGGATTCCATTGCCCCAAAATCCCGAAATCCTCGCTCTGGTGGTTTCCACTTGAAAGCTCAGGGATGGGAAATGGCCCAAACTGGGGTCCCTGGTGCCCCTCGGGGACACCACAGAGGGGCTGGGGCTGCCAGGCGGCACAAAACCCAACAAATGCACCAAAACCAACCCGGAACAGCAAAAATGTGCAGAGCTGTGAGCCCTGCCCTTGCCTGAGGCTCGGCTGCCACCTGGGGACACTCAGGGGACAGCCCGGGCTCATGGATTTGCAAATGAGGTAAATTAATACTGACCCACAGCGGGCTGCGAGGGGAGAGAGCCGCTGAAATCCCAGCGGATTTCTTGGGTAAAATCTCTCTTTTTTAAGGTAAAATCTCCATATTTTTAGGGAAAACCTTCATTTTTAGGCAAAACCTCCACTGCAGTTGGCCACCCAGCACAAGCCCTGTCCCCAAACCAGCCCATCACCAACCCCGCCCTGAGAGCAGCTCCCACAGCACAGAGAAAGCTCCTGCCGGCTCTGCCTCCCCTGGGAAGGGATTTGCTCTCCCCATCCCTGTCCCTGCAGCTGGACCGCACCCCTAGCCCCGATTCACCCAGAAAAATCATTTATACCCTGAGAGATCTGCAGAGTTCAGCCAAAAACCCCAAAAACCTGCAGCCCTGGGGGTGCCTGGCATGAGCAAAGGGGAAATTTGGGATTCACAGCCAAAATCCCAAACGCTGCAGCCCGAACAAAGGGGGAAATTTGGGATTCACAGCCAAAACCCTAAACCCTGCAGCCCTGGGGGTGCCTGGCACAACCAAAGGGGGAAATTTGGGATTCACAGCCCGGTGCCCGCATCCCCTGAGGAAAAGGGACCCAGCACCGAGCTTGGTCATAACCCCACACCCCCATCCCAACTAATCCTAAACCAGCGCCGCCCTTAGCGCCAGCCCAACCCCGGCACAGCCCCCGAGCACAGCGAGGATTTCCCGGCGGGAATACAAAGGAATTTCCCCGTTTGTCCGTTCCCGCTCACTCCCCGCTACCTGCAGCCGCACTCGTCCACCACCATGTCCTCGTAGTGGCGCAGCACCACGTTGTCGCTGTTGTCGTAGTAGAGGATGGAGATGGGGGAGAGGCGCACGGGCACGCAGCAGGGCTGGGGCGTGCCCCGCGGGTCCAGCGAGTGCACCATGGTCTGCAGCACGGCGTGGTTGGTGCTGTTGAGCTCGGCCGCCAGCGGGAACGGGCACTCCCCGCCGCAGTAGTTGGCCAGGTAGCCCTGCGGGGCGATGATCCAGTTCTCCCAGCCCACGTCGCTGAAGCTGATGTAGAGCCGGCGGGGCTTGCACAGGGGGCTGGGGGACACGGCGGGGCTCGGGGCGCTCCTGCGGCTCCGGGCTGTCCGGCACTGCGGGCCCAGCGTCACCAGCAGCAGCGAGGCGCCCGCGAACGCTCCGGAGCTGCCGCAGGGGCTCCGCGGGCCGCCGGGGCCGCCGCTCACCGACAGCTCCAGCAGCAGGGCCAGATGGTCCCGGCCCGGCCCGGCCCGGCCCCGCAGCGCCGCGCCCAGCCCGAACTGCAGCGACCGGCGCAGCTGCACCAGCGAGCGCTCCAGCAGCGGGGCCCGGCCGGGCTGCGGCGAACCCCGCGGGGATCCCCGGTACAGCCGCAGCTCCAGCACCCGCCCCGGGCTCGGGCCGTGGTACGAGCTGTGCTGGAAGCGCAGCTCCAGCTGCGCCAGCGTCGGGCGCTCGCCCTCCTCCAGCGCCGAGAGGTTGAAGAGCAGGAGCCGCCGCAGGCACAGCCGGGGCTGGGGCTGCCCCGCGGGCAGGAGGCGGCCTGGCGAGGAAGGAGAAACAGAGTGGGGGCGGCTGGGCTGGGGATGGGCAGGATCGGCTCCAGGATGGGATGGGGGAACCCTCGGGATGAGCAGGATCGGCTCCAGGGATTGGGGAACCCTCGGGGTGAGCAGGATCAGCTCCTGAGATGGGGAACCCTGGGGCTGGGCAGGATCGGCTCCGGGATGGGCTGGGGCTGGGCAGGATCGGAGAGAAGAGGGCGAACAGCGGCCAATCTGGGTTTAGCCTGGTTTAGCCAGCCCGAGCCAAACTGGAACCACGAGAGAAAAGAGCTTTGGGGTGCCTTGAGCCCTCAGGGACACCGATCAGACAGTCCCCAGGGCACTGCGAACGGCTCAGAGCAGCCAGATGTGCCCCGGGGTCAGCCAGATGTGCCCCGGGGTCAGCCAGATGTGCCCTGGGGTCAGACAGAGGCGCTGGGACAATGAGGAGGGGGGACACGGCCCGGGGGTCGAGCATCCCATCCCTGGGGTCATGACTGGGATCGGGATCGGGACCGGGGTCGGGCCTGGGATCAAAGCCGCGCCTCGGGAGGGATTTGGGGGCTCCAGGACAGGGCCAGGCACCGCTGCCCCCCTCACCCCCATCCCGGGGTTCCAACCCCATCACCATCACGGGCAGCATCCACAGGGCTCCGTCCCGCGGGGATTTCTCCTGGAATCCGGCTCCGGGACACGGGGCAGGAGGGAGGGAGCGGAGCCCGGGGCTGTACCTTGGTCGGCGAGCACTCGCACGATGTTCCCGGGCACGTTGAGCTCCTCCACCGTGCAGGGCTCGGGCGCTGCCCGCGGCCGGGGCCGGGCGCTCCGCCGGTGGAAGATGCTCCAGAGCAGGGCCGGCACCGGCGCGGGGCTCCTGGGGCCGGGCCTGGCGCTGAGCCCCGGCGAGCGCAGCGGGGAATGGTCCGGGGAGAGCGGCGGCGAGGGCAGCGAGGGGCCGGGCAGGGCCCAGGCCGGGCTGCGGAGGAGCCACAGCCACATCCAGATCCACATGGGCATCGGCATCCTCATGGACATCGACATCCTCATCCTCATGGACATCCCGGCTGTGCGCACAAAGAACGGGCAGCGCCGGGGCTGGGGCCGAGCGCAGCCTTTGATGGGCTCGGGCTCAATCAGCACCGCGGGATCCCGGCTCGGGGTGGGATCCCTGCGGCCCCGGCACCCCTTAACCCTTTCAGGGCTCTCCCGCAGCTCCGGAGCGCCCACTGCGGCGCCATGGGGTCGGGATGAGGATGGAAATCCAGCGTTGTTCCTAAAATCCCTGCCCGGAGCTGGGGGCAGACCCGGAGACGGCTCTTCCTTCCAAAAAATCCATTTTTTAACTCAGTGTGGGCTCAAGGATGAGGATGGAAATCCAGCGCTGCTCTCAAAAACCCTGCCCAGAGCCGGGGGCACACCTGGAAAGGGCTCTTTCACCCCAAAATTCCCTTTTTTAACTCAATCAGGGCGTCCAACGCTTCTCTCTAAAAGCCATCGACCTCCAGCACATCAAACCATCAAAGTCCTGCTTCACATGGCCTCAAAAACTACTGGCCCCAAAAAAACCCACGGGCCCCAGCCAGGCACCCCCAGGTCCTGCAGTCCCTTGTTGGCCATCACAGCAGAGCTGCCACCGCCACCTCGGTGTCACAGCCCCCAGAGGCAGCTGGAGCCCCCCAGCTCAACGCCAGCCCTGGGAAATTCAGTTTAATCCCCCCATGGCCACCCCAGCTCTGCTCCGGCCCTTCCTGCCCTGCAAAGCCCACAGAGAACCGAGGAATTCCGCACTGGGAGGCTCCTCGGACACCCTGGGGGTGACAGGGGGGGACAAGGTCCTGCCACAGCTTGGGGACATCCCCACAGCCCCACTCAGGGCCTGTCCCTGCCTCAGGCACAGCAGGGGAGGGGAACCAAACATGGGAAAATCCCTCAAATTCCCACAAATTCCCACAAAATGGAATTGATGGCCTGGATCGGATCCCCCTCGGCTGCTGGGGGAGGGAGCGGAGGGTCCTGGCCTGGGAGGGGACAGCGAGGGGACAGCGAGGGGACAGCGAGGGACCCAGACCCACGGAGCTGCCCAGGGCAGGGACCTGGGACGGCAGGGCTGGAGCTGCCTGGAAACCCAGCGGGAATTCCCTGTTTTTCCCAAAAATCCCAGCCCTGGGAGCAGGAATTGTCTGTTCCTCCTAAAAACCCAACCCTGGCAGCAGGAATTCTCCTGGAAATCCCACCCTGGGAGCAGGAATTCTGTTTTTCCTTCACCAAAGGGCCAGACCTGGGGGAATCTCCCAGCAGGGACCTGCAGGACCCTTTCTAAGCCACTCCAAGACCTACACGGGGATTTTTCCAAGCAAACTGAACCTCCAGAGCCTCCTCCCAAGGGCTGGGCTGGAGCTCCTGGGGTGGATTCCCAGGCAGTGGCAGCTGCAGGGGACAAGGGCACCTCTGCAGTGCCTGGAGCACAGCTGGGGCACATCTGGAGCACAGCTGGCCCAGGGGTCCCTTCCCAGGGCGGGACAGGAGCTCCTGGGAGGGCTCAGAGGGAGGGTCTGGGGGTGTCACAGCGGGGCTGGGGACGTGGGGCAACACCAGGGACACCGAGGCAGCCCCAGGTCCCACCTGGCCAGCGCGGCCACCGTGTCCCGGCCAGACTGGGCCAGACTGGGCCAAACTGGGAGCCCCAGGGTGCTGGCAGTGCCAGGGCTGGAGGGGGCAGGGGGCAGTTGCTGTCCTTGGCAGGGTCCCAGAGCAGGTCCCGGGCAGTGCCAGCCCCGCAGCCGCGCCCACGCCGCCCTCACAACCTCTTGTCCTTCACGAGGCCGTTCCTGAGGTGCAGCCTGGGGAGAGCAGAGCCGGGGTCAGGCCCTGGACACAGAAATTCCCCTCACTGCCCTGACCCAGATCTGTGCTCTGTGATGGCTCCAGCCCCTGAACACAGCAAATCCCCCCCTCATTTCCCTGTCCCCAGATCTGTGCACTTTGGTGGCTCCAGGCCCTGAACACACGAATTTCCCCTCATTTCCATCCTGGGGCCACTCCTGTCCCCAGATCTGTGCACTTTGGTGGCTCCAGGCCCTGAACACACGAATTTCCCCTCATTTCCATCCTGGGGCCACTCCTGTCCCCAGATCTGTGCACTTTGGTGGCTCCAGCACCAGGAAACGCTCCAGACAGAGCTCAGAGCTCAGAGCCCTGGCAGGGCCTGAAGGGGCTCCAGGAGAGCTGGAGGGGGACTGGGGACAAGGGATGGAGGGACAGGAGCCAGGGAATGGGTTTAGACTGGGAAAGGGAGATTTGGGTGGGATACTGGGGAGGGATTCCTGGCGGGGAGGGTGGGGAGGGATGGGATGGAATCCCCTGTGCCCACCCCTGGAGCCCCGGCAGTGCCCCAGGCCGGAGCCCAGGCTCGTGGGGGTGTCCCCGGTGTGGGGCTGGACGTGTTTTGGGGTTTCCCGACCCAAAGCAGCCCGGAGCTGCACGTACCCCTCCTTCAGAGCCCGGGGCAGCGGGACCCCGGGCTCCTTGCCGGGTTTCCTGCTCTCCTCCAGGTCGTACTCACGGACATCGTTCACCTCCTGCATCTGCCCCAGCAGCACCTTGGCCACGAAGAGCACGATGTACTGCGGACAGGAGGGGACAGGAGGGGACAGCGACCCTCAGGCACGGCCCCAGCCCGGGGGGACCTTTCCCCGCTGCCCCCTCCCCATTTCGGGCAGGGCAGCTCCCCCGCATGGCCACAGCCCCGGGATGGGTTTGGGGCTCCATGGAGCAGAACTCCAGGGGGAATTCCTGGTTCCATCCCAGGGGTGATGGGATCAGCAGCTCCCTGCCCTGCCCTGCCCTGCCCCACGGATCTCTGCTGTCCACCCATCCCCACAGCCTGGGGCTTGCAGGAACATTCCCAGAACGTTCACACCTCTCCAAATCCCCTTTGGAACGTTCCCAGAACGTTCACACCTCTCTCCAAATCCCCTTTCTGGGATGCAGGAACGTTCCCACAACATTCACACCTCTCTCCCTGCTGTTATCACTCCCCCCAGGGTGTCAGACACTGAATTCCCCCAGCCTGACCCCCCAAACCTCCCCATGGCTGCCACCCCCCAACAGCAGCAGCGAGGACAGGGCTGGCCCCAGGGGCAGGGGACACGTCCCTGCTGTCCCCAGTCTGTCCCCGCTGTCCCAGTCTGTCCCTGCTGTCCCCAGTCTGTCCCCTGGGGTGGCACCAGCCCCGATCACCCACCAGGAACCAGTAGATGTTCATCAGGGTGAGCACGAGCAGCAGCGCGTTGAAGAAGAAGTAGAAGGGGATGTTGGGCACGGCCTGCAGGCTGGAGTGGCAGGTGGCGTAGAGCACCTTCAGGGGGAACCAGTAGAGACGGAACCAGAACCTGCAGGGACGGGGACAGGGAGGGGTCAGGGTGGCCCTGGGAAAGGGACAGAGCCAGCACAGCCTGTGCCCCCTGAGCCCCCATTCCTGCCCCTGGGAAAGGGACAGAACAGCCCATCCATCCATCCATCCATCCATCATCCATCCATCCATCCATCCATCCATCCATCATCCATCCATCCATCCATCCATCCATCCATCCATCATCGTCCATCCATCCATCCATCCATCCATCCATCATCCATCCATCCATCCATCCATCATCCATCCATCCATCATCCATCCATCCATCCATCCATCCATCATCCATCCATCCATCCATCCATCCATCCATCCATCATCCATCCATCATCCATCCATCCATCCATCCATCCATGCATCCATCCATCCATCATCCATCCATCCATCATCCATCCATCCATCCATCCATCCATCCATCCATCATCCATCCATCCATCCATCCATCCATCCATCCATCCATCCCTCCTCCACCTCTTTGTTTTCCAGGATTTGTTGGAATTTGGGACAGCCCTGCCTCCCTTTTTCTACTGGGAAATGGCAGCGCCTCCTCCTCCTCCTCGTCCCCCCTGCAGGGTCATTTGTCACAGCAGTGTCACAGCAGTGTCACCAGGGTGTCACCAGCGGTGTCACAGGAATTTCACAGGCACTCAGGCCCCGCACTACAGAGGGATTCCCAGCCCAGCAGGAGCCCCAGGAGATGCTGGGGGGTCTCAAAAACCATCAGGGGAGAGGGGACGGGGCCTAGGGGGACAAAAACCCTGCAAAGAGCACCAGGATTGGGAGCAGGGGAGGGTCAGGATGGGATCAGGGCCCCAAATCCAGCAGGGAAGGTGAGGATTGGGATCAGGGCCCCAAATCCAGCAGGGAAGGTGAGGATTGGGATCAGGGACGCAAATCCAGCAGGGAAGGTCGGGTTTGGGATGGGGACACAAATCCACCAGGTCAGGATTACGATCGGGGGACCCAAACCCACCAGGGAAGGCCAGGATTGGGATCAGGGGGCACAGACCCACCAGGTCAGGATTGGGACCATTGGGATCAGGGGACCAAGACCCACCAGGAGTGTTCAGGATTAGGATCAGGGCCCCAGACCCAGCAGGGTTTAGGATCAGGTTTAGGATCAGGACCCCAGACCCACCAGCTGACGCTGAAGGCCAGGCAGCCCGCGTTGGCCAGCACGTCGTTGAGGCGGTGGAAGGCGCCGCCGCGGTGCTTGAAGTACACGTTGAGCTTGGTGAATTCGAGCTGCACGTCGTTGACGTCGTGCAGGAACAGCACCAGCACGCCCACGTTGTGGTACCTGGGGGGAACAGCGGGGAAAATGGGGGAAATCTGCGGGGAAATGGGGAAAAACTGCAGGGAAATGGGGAAAAACCATGGGGGAAAACCACAGGGAAATGGGGAAAAACTGCAGGGAAATGGGGAAAAACCATGGGGGAAAACCACAGGGAAATGGGGAAAAACTGCAGGGAAATGGGGAAAAACCATGGGGGAAAACCACAGGGAAATGGGGAAAACAACGGGGAAAAATGGGGGAAACTGCAGGGAAATGGGGAAAAACCACAGAGAAACGCAGAAAAATCATGGGGAAAAACAATGGGGAAATGGGAAAAACCGCGGGGAAATGACGAAAACCATGGGGAAAAACCACGGGGAAATGGAGAAATGAGACAGGGAAAAACTGGGGAAATGGGAAAAAACACAGGGAAATGGAGAAAAAATGTGGGGAGATGAGGAAAAACAATGGGAAAAAAGAGTGAGGAAATGGGGAAAAAGCATGGGGAAGTGGGGAAAATGGGGAAAATGGGGGGAAGAGCTGGGGAAATGGAGAAAACCAGGAAAATGGGGAAATGAAATGGGGAAAATGATGGGGAGACGTCGCACCTGAAGGGTAGGAGGAGGATGAGGAGGATGAGGAAGGTCGGGGCTCACCTGAGGAGGATGAGGAGGATGAGGAAGGTCGGGGCTCACCTGAAGGCGTAGGAGGAGGCCAGCAGGGTCAGGGTGACCACGTGGTGCAGCAGCATCACCAGCGAGTCCTTGCGCCACGTGTCCATGTAGGCCGTGGCGTACAGCGAGTGCCCGTAGAAGCTGCCCTGCAGCAGGTACGCCAGGGCAATGTCCCTGGGCACCTCCATGCCCCGATGCCAGCCTGGAACACCCAGGGGTTTGGGTTTGAGAGGGGAAAAATAGAAATGGAAATAAAAATAATGGTAATAATAATAATAATAATAATAGTGCCCCGCCGCCAGCCTGCAACACCGCCGAGGGGCTTGGGTTTGAGAGAGGAAAACTAGAAATAGAAATAAAAATAGATATAAAAATAATAAAAATAATAAAAATAATAAAAATATAAAAATAAAAATAAAAAAAATAAAACAAAATTAAAATTAAAATTAAAATTAAAAATAAAATTAAAATTAAAAATTAATAAAGAATAAAAATAAAAATACAATAAATTAAAATTTAAAAAAATTAATAATAATAATAATAATAGTGCCCTGCTGCCAGCCTGGAACCACTCCCAGCTGGTCTGCATTTGTAAGAGTAAAAATGAAAATAGAAATAAAAATTAAAATAAAAATTAAAATAAATATTGCAATTATAATAATCTACTATATAAAATAAAATAATTGACATAATAATAATATTGATAATAATAATCTGTATTATTATAGGAAAGTTATATTATTATATAAAATAAAAATAATATCGATTATTAGATATTATTATTAAATAATAATCTGTATTATTATAGAAAAAATAAAACAATCTAGATTACTGTAGAAAATAAAAATACCTTATATCATTATCGACTATTGCTAAATAATAACCTATGTTATTATATTAGCTTTTGCAAGTTGTGATCAATCACCATGGGTTTATATATGATATATATGTGTGGGTTTGTGTCCCTGTCCACAGCAGTGGGGGGAATGAGGAGATTTTTAAAGCCCTGATTTGGGCAGGGAATTTGAGGTGATTTTTAGGCTCTGATTTGGGCAGGGGTTGGAACGAGGAGATTTTTAAGCCCTGACTTGCTGCCCCTGCCCATGGCCGTGAGCTGATCTTCAAGATCCTTCCCAGCCCATTCCATGATTTAATTGTCATTGATTTAATTGTCCATGATTCATTCCATTGGTTCCCGATTCACTCAGCCCCTCCAGCAGCCACCAGAAGAAACGAACGCCCAGACACCCCCTTGTGCCCTCTCTGCACCCAGAGCAGGACGAAAAAGGGGTAAAAAAGGACAAAAAAAGGGAATTTTGTGTGTCTGCGCTGGCCTCACCGTAGAAGGCGGAGGGCGGGTCGTGGAAGAAGGGGTACTCGGTGCAGAACAGCAGGTAGGCGCCGTAGGACCACGACACCGAGTAGAAGAACAACTTCCAGGCGCTCTCGGGCATCTTGGCGGCATCTCTGGGCTGCAGCTGGCACCACTCCGCCAGGGGCTGCGGGAAAAGGGGCAATTTCACCAGGGAAACCTCGCCCGGGGGGCTCAGCAGCACCCAGGGGTGGTGCCAGGGGCTCAGCAGCACCCAGGGGGCTCAGCAGCCCCCAAGGGTGATAGCAGGGGGCTCAGCAGCACCCAGGGGTGGTGCCAGGGGCTCAGCAGCACCCAGGGGGCTCAGCAGCCCCCAAGGGTGATAGCAGGGGGCTCAGCAGCACCCAGGGGTGGTGCCAGGGGCTCAGCAGCACCCAGGGGTGGTGCCAGGGGGCCAGAGCCAGGCTCTGCCAGCAGGAAGGGGCTGGGGAGGGGAAATTGGGAGGGGGGGGACCCTCCTGGAGCTGTGCAAGGGGAGTCTGGGGCATCCACCACTCCCTGGAGCATCCTTGGAGCATCCCCAGAGCATCCTCCGAGCATCCTCCCCCTCCTCGGGGCATCCTGCCCCTCCCTGGAGCATCTCCAGGGCATTCCCTCCCTCCCCAGAGCATCCTGCCCCTCCTTCCCCTCCCCGGAGCATCCTCAGAGCATCCCCTGAGCATCCTCTCCCCCCCCCGCAGCATCCTCCTCCCGGGAAAAAGGGAAATGGGAGGGCAGGAAGGGCCGGGCACAGCCTGGGCACAACCCTGGGCACAGCCTGGGCACAGCCCTGGGCACAACCCTGGGCACAACTCTGGGCACAACCCTGGGCACAGCCTGGGCACAGCCTGGGCACAGCCCTGGGCACAACTCTGGGCACAACCCTGGGCACAGCCTGGGCACAACCCTGGGCACAGCCTGGGCACAGCCCTGGGCACAACCCTGGGCACAGCCTGGGCACAGCCCTGGGCACAACTCTGGGCACAACCCTGGGCACAGCCTGGGCACAACCCTGGGCACAGCCTGGGCACAGCCCTGGGCACAGCCACCAGGTGCCACCAGCGGCAGGGACACGGCGCTGATGGAGCTGTGCCACCCCTGCCCGCGTCCCCAGCGCCTTTTCCAGCCCCGATCCCGCCCGGGTTTCCCTCCCCAGGGCTGCTCTGCTTGGGGAGAATCCAAGGAAATTCCCGAAATTCCTGTCCTGGCTGCCCAGGGGGACAGGGACAGGCTGGGGGTGACAGGGAACACGGAACAGGGTTTGGGGGTGAATGGATGCAGACTCGTTTTTGGGGGGAATAAACTGAGCCAGCCCCATTTTTGGGGGAATAAACTGAGCCAGCAAGGCCCAGGGAGGGGTTTGGGGGAACCAAAGCCCTGAGAAATCCCAAATCCCCCCCAGAACTGCTCCGGGCGAGCCCCAGGTGAAAGCAGAACTGGGCAGGGTAACAGGAGCCGGCGCGGGTCAGCACTTTCTGCTCCTAAATTAAGGCCCCAGCTGTCCCTGGTGCTTGGCCCCTTCTCCAGGGGCTGCCATCCCAACAGCGCTGGGGTTCCTGGGCTCCCATCCCAATCCCAACAGCGCTGGGGTTCCTGGGCTCCCATCCCAATCCCAACAGCGCTGGGGTTCCTGGGCTCCCATCCCAATCCCAACAGCGCTGGGGTTTCTGGACACGTCCCCTCCTGCCTTTTCCAGGGGGAGAAGGGGAGCAGGGGGAATCAAAAATGCACGGAAAGCTTCAGTTCCCGGGGTGCCCACACGGCAGGGACAGCCCAGGGGATTTGGGATCCTCAAAGCCACGCTCACCCCACAAAGGTTTGGGGTACAAGGGACCACAGGGATCTGTGGGGTCTGTGGGGCAGGGATTCAGGAATGGGAGGTGGCTCCGGTGGGGACACAGGGGACAGGGGGACAGAGGGGACACAGGGGGACACAGGGGGGTCATGGGGGACAGGGGGGACACAGGAGGGACAGGGGGGACACAGGAGGGACAGGGGGGGCACAGGGTGTCACGGGGGTGTCACGGGGGGTCCCCGGGGCTGCCCACGGACCCAGCTCTGCCCCGGGGTGGGGGAGGGGGGGGTGGGGGATGTCCTCCCATCACCCGGCTGCCGTTGCCATGGTGACGGCGCACAGATGCCCGTTGCCAGGGGCGACGGAGCCGCGCCGGGATCTGGGCTGGGGCTGGGGCTGGAGGAGCCCGGGGACTGCAGGCGGGGATGTGACGGGGCCTGCGGGAAGGGCACAGCCTCCCCTCATCATCATCATCATCCCCATCCTCATCCTCGGGCTGGGGCTGCCCCGGGGCCAGGAACGGCCGCGGGGAGGAGAGAACGTGAAGGCTCCTTTGCCGGCCTCCAGGGATCCCTAAATCCACACCCAGGGATCCCTAAATCCACAGCCGGGATCCCTAAATCCATCCCCAGAGATCCCTAAATCCACCCGAGGGATCCCTAAATCCACAGCCGGGATCCCTAAATCCATCCCCAGAGATCCCTAAATCCACAGCTAAGGATCCCTAAATCCACCCCCAGTTCCAGCAGCAGGACACAGGAGCATCCAGGGATCCCTAATTCCACCCCAAACTCTGGGGATTCCCAAACCCACCCCCAGGGACCCCTAAATCCCACCCCAGCCCCAGCAGCAGGAGCCGGGGGAGCCGGGCAGGGGGAAGGGGCACCCAGTGCCAAGGTTGGTGCCCAGTGCCAGGGCTGGAAGGAGCCCGGCGGTGCCAGGGCCGGTGCCAGGGCTGGCCGGGGCACAGAACGTTCCCCAGGGACACAAAGGAGCAGCTGGCACGGAGCAGCCCCGGAACTGGCGGTGCCAGCGGGGAGGATGAGCCAGGAGAGCCCCAGAGCCTGCCCGGCCTCACCCGAGCCGGGATCCGGCTCAATGCCAGGGCTGGGGTGCCCCGGGGGGCTCGGGGCCCTCTGTGCCCCCTGTCCCTCTGTGCCCCCTGTCTCTCTGTCCCTCTGTGCCCCCTGTCCCTCTGTGCCCCCTGTCTCTCTGTGCTCTCTGTCCCTCTGTGTCCCTTCTGTCCCTCTGTCCCTCTGTGCCCCCTGTCCCTCTGTCCCTCTGTGCCCCTCTGTCCCTCTGTGCCCCCTGTCCCTCTGTCCCTCTGTGCCCCCTGTCCCTCTGTGCCCCCTGTCTCTCTGTCCCTCTGTGCCCCTGTCCCTCTGTGCCCCCTGTCCCTCTGTCCCTCTGTGCCCCCTGTCTCTCTGTGCTCTCTGTCCCTCTGTGTCCCTTCTGTCCCTCTGTGCCCCCTGTCCCTCTGTCCCTCTGTGCCCCCTGTCTCTCTGTGCTCTCTGTCCCTCTGTGTCCCTTCTGTCCCTCTGTGCCCCCTGTCCCTCTGTGTGCTCTGTGTCCCTTCTGTCCCCTCTGTGTCCTCTGTCCCTCTGTGCCCCCTGTCCCTCTGTCCCTCTGTGCCCCCTGTCCCTCTGTGTGCTCTGTGTCCCTTCTGTCCCCTCTGTGCCCCCTGTCCCTCTGTGTGCTCTGTGTCCCTCTGTCCCTCTGTGCCCCCTGTCCCTCTGTGCCCCCTGTCCCTCTGTCCCTCTGTGTCCCTCTGTCCCTCTGTGCCCCCCGTCCCTCTGTGTGCTCTGTGTCCCTTCTGTCCCCTCTGTGTCCTCTGTCCCTCTGTCCCTCTGTGCCCCCTGTCCCTCTGTGTCCTCTGTGCCCCTGTCCCTCTGTGTGCTCTGTGTCCCTTCTGTCCCCTCTGTGTCCTCTGTCCCTCTGTGCCCCCTGTCCCTCTGCTCCCGGCTTGGCCACCCCAGGGCTGGGGCTCTGAAGGGTCCCTGAATGGATTTGGGGCCCCAAACCCAAACCTGGCACCTTCCACTGCCCTAGGGTGCAGCAAACCACCGGAGCACTGCCAGGGACGGGGCAGCCGCAGCTTCTTTGGGAATTCTTTGGGAATTCTGCCCCAAATGGAACCGTTCCTCCCCAAAATCCCACCCTGGCGGCCCCAAAAAGGAAAAACCAGGAAAAACCAGGGAAAAGCCCCTGATCCGTGAGGCCAGAGTACCCTGGGGACACGGGGGCAGTGCCACCCACCCCGCTCTCCTCTCCTCTCCGTGCCTCAGTTTCCCCGCCCCGAGCCAAGCTCAGGCCGCCATTCCCCATCTGCACGGGTGGGCAAAGGCGATTTCCCCCCCGGATTCCCACCAGGAGAGATTTTCTCCCAGCACGAGGGGTTCCATGCCCCGCTCCGTGTCCCGGGAAGGAGCAGCAGCGGCGGCGGCGGCACCGGCGGCGCTGGCACAGCAGAGCGGCCCCGGCACAAAGGCCCCTTTGTTGCTGTTGGGGTTTCTCTCCCCCTGCTCTGTGCTCAGGGAGGGAAAGGCAGAGCCTGGCCCAGCGCCCTGTGCTCAGCTCGGCGTGCTCTGCTCCCACACGGGGCTGGGACAGCATGGGGACAGCCTGGGGACAATCTGGGGACAGCCTGGGGACAGCATGGGGACAGCCTGGGGACAACCTGGGGACAGCCTGGGGACAATCTGGGGACAGCCTGGGGACAGCATGGGGAGAGCATGGGGACAGCCTGGGGACAGCCTGGGGACAGCATGGGGACAATCTGGGGACAGCATGGGGACAGCATGGGGACAGCCTGGGGACAGCATGGGGACAATCGGGGGACAGCATGGGGACAGCCTGGGGACAATCTGGGGACAACCTGGGGACAGCCTGGGGACAGCCTGGGGACAGCATGGGGACAGCATGGGGACAATCTGGGGACAGCATGGGGACAGCCTGGGGACAGCCTGGGGACAGCATGGGGACAATCTGGGGACAGCATGGGGACAGCATGGGGACAGCCTGGGGACAGCATGGGGACAATCGGGGGACAGCATGGGGACAATCTGGGGACAGCATGGGGACAGCCTGGGGACAGCCTGGGGACAGCATGGGGACAATCTGGGGACAGCATGGGGACAGCATGGGGACAGCCTGGGGACAGCATGGGGACAATCGGGGGACAGCATGGGGACAGCATGGGGACAGCCTGGGGACAGCCTGGGGACAGCCTGGGGACAATCTGGGGACAGCCTGGGGACAGCCCTGGGACAGCATGGGGACAACATGGGGACAATCGGGGGACAGCCTGGGGACAATCTGGGGACAACCTGGGGACAGCATGGGGACAGCATGGGGACAGCCTGGGGACAGCATGGGGACAATCTGGGGACAGCCTGGGGACCGCATGGGGACAGCCTGGGGACAGCATGGGGACAGCATGGGGACAGCATGGGGACAGCATGGGGACATCCCCCACTCCCAAGGCTGGGAAATGAGCTCCTGGCAGGGCTGCAGGGGGGGAAGGACGCCAGGAATCCTGGATTTCCAGAACCCTGAGTTTACAGCATCCCAAATTTCCAGGATCCTGAATTTCCAGTATCCCAAATTTCCAGGATCCTGAATTTCCAGCATCCTGAATTTCCAGCATCGTGAATTTTCAGAATCCTGGATTTCCAGAATCCTGAGCTTTCAGAATCCTGGATTACTAGAATCCCGAATTTCCAAAATCCCGAATTTCCAGAATCCTGAATTTCCAGCTCGCACATCCCCCTGGGGCTGCTCTGGATTGCTCCCCTTCCCTGAGCACATTTCCCAACATTTCTCCCTGCAGAGGACCCTGGGATGGCCTGAAAACCGGGACACCAGCAGGACGGGGTCAGGGTTAGGGTTAGTTTTAGGTTTAGGGTTAGGATTAGAGTTAGAATTACGGTTAGGTTTAGGGTTAGGATTCGGGTTAAGATTAGGGTTAGTTTATGATTAGGGTTGTGATTAGGCTGGGGTTAGGATGAGGTTTAGAATTAGGGTTAAGATTAGGATCAGGATTAGTCATTTCAGCCTCCAAGTGAGGAAGGATGCCCCAAAACCCAGGTCCTGAGCAGGGCGAAGCCCCCGTGCTCACACATCTCCTTTTCCTCCCCTCGGGCCACCCTGACCCAGCCCTGCCCTGCCAGGGGCTCTGAGACCCAAACCCGGCAGATTTCACACCAAATCCAGCTGCCCATCGCTGCCCACAGCCATTCCAGCCAGGGAATTTTCCAATCTCTTTAAAATACAGCCCTGGAGCCCGAGCTGTGCCTGCCTGCAGCCGGGGAAAGCTGATGCCACCGGAGCCCTGCTCAGCATCTCATCAGCATCGGGCACAGCAGCTGGAGCCGCTGAACCCCCCGGCCCTTCTGCAGTTACAGACTGACCCATTTCCCCAGGGAGCCGCACCTCGGCCCTGCCAGGACCTGCCATGGGCTGCCAGGACCTGCCATGGGCTGCCAGGGGCTGCCAGGACCTGCCAGGGGCTGCCAGGACCTGCCATGGGCTGCCAGGGGCTGCCAGGACCTGCCAGGGGCTGCCAGGACCTGCCATGGGCTGCCAGGGGCTGCCAGGACCTGCCAGGGGCTGCCAGGACCTGCCATGGGCTGCCAGGGGCTGCCAGGACCTGCCAGGGGCTGCCAGGACCTGCCATGGGCTGCCAGGACCTGCCATGGGCTGCCAGGGGCTGCCAGGACCTGCCAGGGGCTGCCAGGGGCTGCCAGAGCTGCCAGGGGCTGCCAGGACCTGCCATGGGCTGCCAGGACCTGCCAAATTCCCCTCACAATCCTCATCCTCAGCCCCTTCCGCACATCACGGACAGGCAGGGGATGGGGGAAATGCAGCCTGGCACAAAATCCCAGCACAAATTCTGCTCACAATCCTCATCCACAGCCCCTTCAACCCCTCACAAGGAATGAGGGAAATCCAGCCTGGCAAAAATTCCCTGCAGATTCCTCACCCACAGCCCCTTCAGTGCCTCACGGACAGAGAGGGGATGGGGGAAACCCAGCCTGGCACAAATTCTGCTCACAATCCTCGTCCACAGCCCCTTCCACACCTCATGGACAGACAGGGAATGAGGGAAATCCATCCCGGCACAAATTCCCAGCACTTTCCTCACCCACAGCCCCTTCGACCCCTCGGAACCAGACTGGGAACGGGGAAAATTCTGCTCACAATCCTCATCTTCAGCCCCTTCCACACCTCATGGACAGACAGGGGATGGGGGAAATCCATCCTGGCACAAAATCCCAGCACAAATTCTGCTCACGATCCTCGCCCACAGCCCCTTTGAACCCCCACAGGGTATAAGGAAAACCCAGCCTGGCGCAAATTCCGCTCACAATCCTCGTCCCCAGCCCCAGAGGGCTCGGCTGGAGCTCGCCCAAGGCCAGGAGCCCCCGGGACCCCTTCAGGGACCCCCAGAGCGCCCAGCGCGGCCAGGGAAGGGCAGCCAGGCCTGGATGGGGTGACAAAAATCTGTCCCCAAGCCCAAATTCCCCAAATGCCCGAGGGTTCTGTGCTGGAGGCTGGGGCAGAGCGGCAGCACCTCCTGAGGAACCAGAGCACAGGGACAGAGGGGACAAAGGGGACAGAGAGGGGACAGAGAGGGGACAGAGAGGAGCAGTGGGGACAGCAGCGGCGGCAGCGCTGCAGCAGCGAGCAGGGCACGGAGATCTGCTCCAAAACCCGCAGAAATGTGTCCCCTCTGTGTCCCCTGTGTGTCCCCTGTGTGTCCCCTGTGTGTCCCCTCTGTGTCCCCTCGCTGTCCCCTCTTTTTCCTCCCGGGCAAGGGACAATCCGTGACCTTCTGGGGATGCGGGGATGGGAACGGCAGCGGGGGAGGAGCAGGGAGGGCTGAAATCCTTCGGGATGCAGCGCCGGGAAAGGCACAAAAACCTGGAATAACCGGGGAGAAATAACCCCAGCCTTGAGGGGATGGAAATAACCCCAGCCCTGTGGGGATGGAAATAAAGGGCAAAAGGAGCACTGCGAGCTGTGCCGGTGCTCGAATCCTGCAGGATGCAGCCCCGGGAAAGGCAAGGAAGCACGGAAAAAACCGGGAATAACCGGGAGGAAAAACGCCTCAGCGCTGTGGGGGCAGGGATGGAAACGCGGAGGGGGAAATCGAGCAGGGAGGGCACCGGGATGCTCAGATCCTGCAGGATGCAGCGCCGGGAAAGGCACAAAAACCGGGAATAACCGGGAAGGAACAACCTCAGCATTGGGGGGATGCGGGATGGATCCGGGGGGATGCGGGGCAGGGGGAAAGGGAGCACGGGGGGCTCTCCCGGTGCCCCCGGCTGCTCCATGCCCAGCGCTGCAGCGCCGGAGGAAGGCGCGGAACAACCTGCGCATAACCTGGAAGAAAACGCGCTCAGCCTTGCGGGGCTGCAGAAACAACCCCAGCGGCGGGGGAGGCGGCGGGGGGGCTCTCCCGCACCCTCGGGATGCTCCGCGCTCGGCGATCGCGGCTCCCGGGGCTCAGCCCTGACCCCACAAACGCATCCCCGAATCCCGCAACGGGTGCGGGCACCCCAAACCTCCCCACCGCGTTCTCCCCCCGCTCCCAGCCCGGTTCCATCGCTCCCGTCCCCGGTTCCATCGCTCCCAGCCCGGTTCCATCGCTCCCAGCCCCGGTTCCATCGCTCCCAGCCCGGTTCCATCGCTCCCGTCCCCGGTTCCATCGCTCCCAGCCCGGTTCCATCGCTCCCAGCCCCGGTTCCATCGCTCCCAGCCCGGTTCCATCGCTCCCAGCCCCGGTTCCATCGCTCCTAGCCCGGTTCCCCCGCTCTCCCATCCCCGGTTCCATCGCTCCTAGCCCGGTTCCCCCGCTCTCCCATCCCCGGTTCCATCGCTCCTAGCCCGGTTCCCCCGTTCCCACCCCGGTTCCCCGCTCCCATCCCCGTCCCCCCCGTTCTCCCCCGCTCCCATTCCCGGCACTGACCCGCAGCAGGCGGCGGGAGCAGGCGCGGCGCAGCGCGGTCCAGCCCAGCGCGCAGATCGCGCACAGCAGCAGCTCGGCCCAGCCCAGGTGCGCGTTGTCGGCCCAGGTGCGCAGCGCCCGCTCCCAGCCGCAGTCCCCGCAGCCCCGCGCCGCCGCCGCCAGGCTGCCGAGGCCGCGGCGCAGCAGCTCCCCGTAGCCGGGCATGGGCTCCGGAGGCGGCATCGCGGCGCTGCCTCGGCCGCGGCCCCGCGCACGCTCGGCGGGGCGGGCGCCGCTCCCCCCGCGCCGGTACCGGGCTGGAGCCGCCCCCTGGCACGGCCCGGCCCGGCCCGGCCCCGCGGGCACGGCGCGGGAGGAGCGCGGGGGGCGCTGCAGGGACGGGCAGGGGAGGGGAAATAAAGAGAATTTCGGTACCGGGGGTGATGGAAACGGGGCAGCGCTGTGCCCGCTGGGAGGGGCACGGAATGGCACGGGGATGGCACGGGGATGGCACGGAATGGCATGGATATGGCACGGGGATGGCACGGAATGGCATGAAGATGGCACGGGGATGGCACGGAATGGCATGGAGATGGCACGGGGATGGCACGGAATGGCATGGAGATGGCACGGGGATGGCACGGGATGGCACGGGAATGGCATGGGGATGGCACGGAATGGCATGGATATGGCACGGGGATGGCACGGAATGGCATGGAGATGGCACAGAAATGGCACAGGGATGGCACAGGGATGGCACAGAGATGGCACAGGGATGGTACGCATACGGCACAGAGATGGCACGGGGATGGCACAGAAATGGCCCGGAATGGCACAGGGATGGTACGGACATGGCAAGGGGATGGCATGGAGATGGCATGGCAGTGGCACAGAGATGGCACGGCATGGCACAGGGATGGCATGGAGACGGCACACAGGTAGCACAGCATGGCACAGAGATGGCACGGATATGGCACAGCATGGCACAGGGATGGCACAGCACAGCACGGCATGGCACGGCACGGAGCTGCTACTGCAGGGAGTCAGGGGCAACTTTGGGGTCTTGGGTGCCAATTGAGGGGTTTGAATGCGAATTTGGGAGGTTCAAGGGCTAATTTGGGGGGTTTCAATGTGAATTTGGGGTTCGGGTGCACACAGCTGCCTGTTGAGGATCCCTGCCGGAGCCTTTCCCCCGCAGCGCTCTTTCCTTGGCTGTACAAAGAAAATAAATTCATTTCTCCAGGTGTTCTTTATCCTCCCTCGGCACAAACCTGAGGAAACCTCGGAGCCTTTCCCTGCTCACCCTCGGGATGTGCCCGAATTTCCCCACAGCTCGGGCTGGGGCACTGCTGCCGTTCAAGGGTGTGGAATATAAAATTCACCTTGAAAATGGGTCTGGAATCATAAAATTCACCTTGAAGATGAATAATAAAATTCACCTTGTAAGTGGATCTGGAATCATAAAATTCACCCTGAAAATGGGCCTGGAATAATAAAATTCACCCTGAAAATGGGTCTGGAAAAACAAAATTCAGCTTAAAAATCAAACTTCCTCTCAAAGGTCAGCCCTGCTGAAAAGACCTCACTGAACTCCATCATCACCATCATCATCATCATCATCATCATCATCATCATCGGCAGCCCTGGAGCTGCCAGGGAAAGGAAAAACGATACCAATATGAAATAAAATGATAAAAATATAAAATAAAAACGATATCAATAAGAAATAAAATGATAAAAATATAAAATAAAAATGATATAAATATAAAATTAAAATTATATTGAATAAAAACGATATAAATAGAAAATAAAAAGGATGTAAATCTAAAATAAAACTATATCAATATAAAATAAAAACGATGTAAATAGAGAATACAAACGATGTAAATCTAAAATAAAACTGAACAAATACAGAATACAAATGATGCAAATCTCCCACCGCACAATGCCCGCGGTGTCCCTGGGGCCCTGCGGGAATTCCCGAGCACAGTGGGGCCTTTCAGAGCGGCACAAAGGGACACTGGGGGGACACTGGGGGGACACCGAGGGGACACTGGGGGGACATTGAGGGGACACTGGGGGGACACCGAGGGGACACTGAGGGGACACTGGGGGGACATTGAGGGGACACTGAGGGGACACCGAGGGGACACTGAGGGGACACTGGGGGGACACTGAGGGGACACTGAGGGGACACTGGGGGGACACTGGGGGGACACCGAGGGGACACTGAGGGGACACTGGGGGGACACTGAGGGGACACTGAGGGGACACTGAGGGGACACTGGGGGGACACTGCGGGGACACTGCAGGGACATTGAGGGGACACTGAGGGGACACTGGGGGGACATTGAGGGGACACTGGGGGGACACTGGGGGGACACTGAGGGGACACTGCGGGGACACTGAGGGGACACCGAGGGGACATTGAGGGGACACTGGGGGGACATTGAGGGGACACTGCGGGGACACTGGGGGGACACTGGGGGGACATTGAGGGGACACTGAGGGGACACTGGGGGGACACTGAGGGGACACTGGGGGGACACTGGGGGGACATTGAGGGGACATTGAGGGGACACTGAGGGGACACTGGGGGGACACTGGGGGGACATTGAGGGGACACTGAGGGGACACTGGGGGGACACTGCGGGGACACTGCAGGGACATTGAGGGGACACTGAGGGGACACTGAGGGGACACTGAGGGGACACTGGGGGGACACTGGGGGGACACCGAGGGGACACTGGGGGGACACTGGGGGGACACCGAGGGGACACTGAGGGGACACTGGGGGGACATTGAGGGGACACTGAGGGGACACTGGGGGGACACTGAGGGGACACTGGGGGGACATTGAGGGGACACTGAGGGGACACTGGGAGGACACTGAGGGGACACTGAGGGGACACTGGGGGGACACTGGGGGGACACCGAGGGGACACTGGGGGGACACTGGGGGGACACTGAGGGGACACTGAGGGGACACTGAGGGGACACTGCGGGGACACTGAGGGGACACTGAGGGGACACCGAGGGGACATTGAGGGGACACTGGGGGGACATTGAGGGGACACTGAGGGGACACTGGGGGGACACTGAGGGGACACTGGGGGGACACTGGGGGGACACTGAGGGGACACTGAGGGGACACTGGGGGGACACCGAGGGGACACTGAGGGGATACTGGGGGGACACTGAGGGGACACTGAGGGGACACTGCAGGGACATTGGACCCAGCAGGGATTGGGGGAAATCCCAAATTTCTGCCACAATAATCCCTAAAAAATCCAAGCTGGATTTGGTCTGTATTGGGGAAATTCCCATGGGGATTTCTGCCACGATAATCCCTAAAAAATCCAGGTGGGATCCGGTTTGGATTGGGGGAAATTCCATGGGGAGGTGGCCATAAATCCTAAAAAATAATAAAAAAAAAATCTAAAATTCCTAAAAAATCTTAAAAAAATCCAGGTTGGACCCTGCAGGGATTAAGGAAATTCCCATGGGGATTTCTGTTAAAATAATTCCTAAAAAATCCAGGTTGGATCTGGTTTATATCTGGGAAATTCCATGAGGATTTCTGCCAAAATAATTCCTAAAAAATCTTGTTTGGATCTCGCAGGGATTGGGGAAAATTCTAAATCTCCGCCACAACAAATCCTAAAAAATTCAGGTTGGAGCCAGCAGGGGTTGGTGACAAGGACACTGCAGGAGGGACACCACACTCAGCCTGAGCCTATTACAGGAAAATTATTTTAATTTTTTTATTTTTTATTTATTTATTTATTTATTTATTTTTATTCTTTTGGGGTTTTCCCTCTCACCAGGGGTTTTCATCCCAAAGGAATTTTCAGAAGGGCAGGAGATGATGCAGAATTTGGGATGGATCCTGGAGATGCTGGAATTTCCCCTTCCCACCCTCCCAGCAGGACCAGAAGGGATTTTTTGGGTCCCAAGGGAGATATTTTGGTTTCCAGAAGAGACTTTTTGGGTCCCAAAGGGATTTTTTGGGTCCCAAAGGGATTTTTCGGGTGCCAGGCTCAGGCACTGGGCGCATACTGCAGGGCCAGGCGGTCAAAGTCGTTCTCCTGCAATCACAGCCAAAAATAAATGGAATTAATTAATCATTAATTAATCATTGAATAATGACTACCAATCAATCCCCCTCCAATTTACATTGATTACCTCTCCCCTAGCTGAACCCACCACAACCAGCTCCCTAAAACCAAATTAATTCCAATTTATCTCGTTGAAATTAACACTAAATTACAGCAAATCGCATTTATCCCTTTTTTTGTCTTTTGCTGCTTTTCCCTTCCCCTCTCCCCAAATTCCCTCTCATATTTTTTCCTGTTTTGAGCCCAAATTTCCACCTGGATTAAAAATCTGCATCTCAGAGCTTTTCTTCCAGCCTTGGGATTCCCAAAATGAAAAACTGAATGAGACTGAGCTGCCCTCTGGGATTTAATTCCCCTGGCTCCATCAGAACGGGGGAAAATTCAATTTATTTGCCTTATTTCTGTTATTATTCCTATTTTCTGCCATCCCCTACCTTGGCCTGGTACTCCTGGATGAAGGGATGGTTTTTGTGAGCATCCTTCAGCTGGGACAGGTAACGATTGGTGACCTGGGGGGGACAAAAAAATTCAATTTTGGGACGGCAGAGTGGCACAAATCCCACCTAAATGTGGGGTTTTTACACCTAAAATCCTGATTGTCTCACTGTCCCAGTTCAAACCAGTAGGACCCATGCACACGCTTGAAATAAAGAATAAAACACTTCAAAAAATCAACTTTCAGCGGTGGCTCCAAGTTAAAAAATAAAAAATCAGGAAAAGCTGAACTTGCAACTCCAAGTGTTTTTTTGCTGCCCAGTTTTTTCCTCAGTAACGTGGAATTCTGGATTCTGGAGTGGTTTGGGTTGGAAGGGACCTCAAGGACCATTAAATTCCATGGGAAAAGCTAAATTCCCCAAATTCCCCAAATCCCAAACAGCTCCCTGTGAGCTGCCCGTGCCCAAAATGGCCCTAAAAGGATCCCATTTATTCCCAAAATTATTCCAGAATAATCCTATTTATCCCCAAAATGGTCCAGTTTATCCCCAAAATGAGCCCAAAATGCCCCCATTTATTCCCCAAATGACCCCATTTATCCCCAAAATGACCCCATTTACCCCAAAATGAGCCCATTTACCCCCAAAATGACCCCATTCACTCCAAAATGAGCCCAAAATGACCCCATTTATCCCCAAAATAATCCCATTTATTTCCAAAATGAGCCCCAAATTACCTCTTTTACCCCCAAAATGACCCCATTTATTCCCCAAAATGACCCCATTTCCCCCCAAAACGAGCCCGTTTCCCCCAGGTCTCACCTCGGGGGCCTTGCCCAGGTGCTGGGACAGCACCACCAGGTTCAGCAGCGTCTCAGGGTGCCCGCTGTCCTGCAGAAATGGGGTGAGCACAGCAAAAGGGGCTGGGGGATCCCTGACAGGGGTCTGGGGACTCTGGGGTGGGACCCCCAGGGAAATCCCTGCCTGCCCCAGGGCTGGGACCCACCTGGGATCGCGCAGGTGGAATGGAACGGGTGGAAAAATAAAATAAAATAAAATAAAATAAAATAAAATAAAATAAAATAACCAATAAAATAAAATAACCAATAAAATAACCAATAAAATAACTAATAAAATAACCAATAAAATAAAATAACCAACAAAATAAAATACAAGAAGTAAAATACAAAATAAAATACTAGGAATGTGAAATAAAATATAAAATAAAATACTAAAATAAAATTAAAATAAAAATAATAAATAACCAATAAAATTTAATAAAATACAATACAATACAATAAACAAAATATAAAATAAAATACTATAAGTGCGAAATGAAATAAAATGCTGAAATGAAATAAAATAAAATATCCAAACCACTCTGCAAGCCCAAGCACAGCGAGGTGGATCCCTAAATTGCCTTTGCTTTGGATTTGAGCAGGAAAACTGGGAATTCAGGGCTGTCCCTTGTCCCTGTGGGAATTTGGGCTGTCCCTTGTCCATCTGGGGCTGTCCCCTGTCCCTGAGGGATTTCTCTGGCTCTGTCCCTGTGGCTCTGTCCCTGTCCCCAAGGGAACTCTCTGGGTCTGTCCCTGTCCATCAGGGACTCTCTGGGGCTGTCCCTGTCCCTGTGTCCCTGTCCCCAGGGCACCCCGGGGGTCCCTACCTTGTCCAGGGCCTCCTGGAGCAGCCCCTCGGCCTCGTCCCAGCGGCCCTGGGCCATGGCCGCGGCCGCCTGCCCGTTGAGCAGCAGCAGCGAGGGGCTGGCCCTGTCTGCCAGCTCCTGGAAGGTGTAGAACGCGTCCTGCAGCTTCTCCCCGCCCTGCACGGGACAGACACACGGACAGGCACACACACAGGGTCACCCTGGGCTGGGGAACACTGATTTACAGGCACAGGGTCACTCCTGGGCTGGGGAATGCTGATTTACATCATTGGGGTCATCCCTGGGCTGGGAAATTCTCATTCACAGCCACAGGGTCATGGGAATTCCTGATTTACAGACAGGGTCACTTCTGGGCTGGGAATTCCTTATTTACATCCTCAGGATCATGAGAATTCCTGATCTCCATCCTGGGGGTCACTTCTGGGCTGGGAAACCCTGATTTACAGACAGGGGTCACTCCTGGGCTGGGGAATTCTGATTTACATCTTTGGGGTCATCCCTGGGCTGCGAAATTCTCATTTACAGCCACAGGGTCATGGGGACTCCTGATCTCCATCCTCAGGATCATCCCTGGGCTGGGAATTCCTGATCTCCATCCTTGGGGTCACTTCTGGCCTGGGAAATCCTGATTTACAGCCTCAGGGTCATGGGACCTCCCCATTCCCATTCTCAAGGTCATTCCTCATTTGGGAAATCCTGATTTCCACGCTTGGGGTCATCCCCAAACTCGGTGGTTTTGCCTCATTCCCAAAGCTCTTTGGGGACATTCTGTGTCCTGGAGCCTGGCTGGGGCAGCAGAGCAGCTCCCTGGGGAATTGGGGATGTTTTGAGGATGTTCTGGGGACGTTCTGGGGACGTTTTGGGGACGTTCTGGGGCCATCTGGCTCCCCCTGGGTACCCACCAGGGCCAGGTTGACCCAGGCTGTGGCCAGCTGTGTCAGGGTGGCATCCTCATCCTGCTCCTGCATCTTCTTCAGCTCCTTCCTGCAGGACAGGTGGGAATCACAAAGGAAAAGGGATCTCAGCACAAAACCGAACAAACTGGGGCTTTCCCCTCGAGGTTTCTGGGGTTTATTGCACCAGGAGAGGCCTGGCTTGGCTCCTGGAAACGGGGAAGGAGAAGGGAAAAGGAAAATGGGGAAAAGGGGAAAAGGGGAAAAGGGGAAAAGGGGAAAAGGGGAAAAGGGGAAAAGGGGAAAAGGGGAAAAGACAAAGCCCAGTCCCACCTGGCCAGGTCGAGCCTGTCGAGCTTCAGCAGGATCTGGATCGTCATGGCCAGGCTGCAGGGACAGAGCACAGGGACTGAGCCAGCTGCACTCACCCCAAACCCCACCTGGACGGTCCTGAGGGTGCTCCTGACCCCAAACCCCACCTGGGACGGTCCTGAGGGTGCTCCTGACCCCAAACCCCACCTGGGACGGTGCTGAGGGTCCCTCCTGACCCCAAACCCCACCTGGGACGGTGCTGAGGGTGCTCCTGACCCCAAACCCCACCTGGACGGTCCTGAGGGTCCCCCCTGACCCCAAACCCCACCTGGGACGGTCCTGAGGGTCCCTCCCAACCCAAACTCTGAGCCTGTGACCCCATTTTGGGATGCCCTGACCATTCCAGGCTGTCCCTCAGGTGCAGATCCCCATTTTTGGGGTTCCCTGACCATTCCAGGCTGGTTTTGGGGATGATGTGACCCCGTTTTTAGCATCCCCTCACCACTCCAGGCTGTGCCTCTGGTGCAGGGCTGGTTCTGGGGAGGATCTGACCCTGTTTTTGGGGTCCCCTCACCATTCCAGGCTGTCCCCTTGGTGCAGGGCCCTCAGGGCAGCGTCGGGGTCCTGCTGGTGGCAGTAGATGGACGCTGCCATCAGCAGGAAGGTGCTGTTGGCCACGTCCACGCTCTTGGCCATCTTCTTGTCCAGCTCTGCCACGATGGAGTCCCTGGGGGGGACAAGGGGAAATGGGGGGAAAATGGGGGGAGGAGAATGGGATAAAATGGGGGAAAAAATGGGGAAAAACAGGTGAGAAAATGGGGGAAAATTGGGAGAAAACGGGGGAGAATGAGGGGGAGAAAATGGGGGGGGAATGGGATAAAATGGGGAAGAAAATACCCCCCCAAACCCCCGGCTCACCTCTGGTTCTGGCTGTCGCTGGCCAGGAACTGAGCAAACATCCTGACAGACTGCAGCTCGGGGCTGGGGCTGCCCTGCAGCTCGTCCAGAACCACCCCAAACTTCCTCTGGAACACAGGAACAGGCAGGGGGATCAGGGGGAGGGAAAAAGGGAGAGAGAAAAGAAGGGGGGAAAAGGGGGGAAAAGAAAGGAAAAAAAAAAAAGAAAAAAAACAAGGAAAAAACCAAGGCAAAAACAGGGGAAAAAAAAGGGAAAAAAAAAGGAAAAGACAAGGAAGAGAACAAGGACAAAACAAGGAAAACAACAAGGAAAAACAAACAAGGAAAAACAAACAAGAAAAAAAAAACAAGGAAAAAAAAACCAAGGAAAACAACAAGGAAAAGAAGGAAGGGCAGAGCGAGCAGGAAAAGAAGGAAAATCCAAAAAAGCAGGAGAGAAGGGAGAGAAGGGAGGTTGGGGTTTGAGCAGCGCTCTCAAGGATCTGCAGGGACAGGACCCAGGGATGGGATTTGGGAATCCCAGGGCCCAGGGAACGGATTTGGGAATCCCAGGGCCCAGGGAATGGATTTGGGAATCCCAGGGCCCAGGGAACGGATTTGGGAATCCCAGGGCTTTACCCCTCCCAGGCTCACCTGGGCGATGTAGGATCGGAACAGGAACACGTCCCGCTCGACCTCCTGCTGGGGGCTGCTGGGCTGAGGGGGCAAATGGGGAATCCTCAGGGCTGTGGGGACCCCAAAACAGCCCCACACAAACAGCCCCATAAAACCAACCCCACACAAACTAACCCCACACAAACCAACCCCACACAAACCAGCCCCACACAAACAATCCCACACAAACAATCCCACACAAACCAACCCCACACAAACCAACCCCACACAAACCAGCCCCACACAAACCAACCCCACACAAACAATCCCACACAAACAATCCCACACAAACAATCCCACACAAACAATCCCACACAAACCAGCCCCACACAAACAATCCCACACAAACAATCCCACACAAACCAACCCCACACAAACCAACCCCCCTCCGCAGCCCCGGGAGCCGCGGCGGGCCGGACCTTGGCGCGCTGGGCCTCGTTGATGGCGGCCTGGAAGGCGCCGATGTAGAAGCTGTTGCGGAGGTCGAACAGCTCGTCCGCCTCCCCCGCCGGGGCCGCGCCCGTCCCGGCCGCCATCGCCGCAGACACGAACCCGGAAGCGCCCGCGCCGCGCGGGCTGCCGGGAGCCGCCGTCGCCATGGGAACAGCCAATAGCAACGCGAGGAGGGGGAGACGTCACAAAAAGCGACGTGTAGGCGGGGTCAGAGCGAGACGACCAATGAGCGGCCCGCGTGGCGATGACGCCATCGGGGCGGGGTTAGAGCGAGTCGACCAATGAGCGACGAACACGGTGCTGATGCAATGGGGGCGGGGTTAGAGCCACCCAGCCAATGAGCGGCGGGCACGGCGGTGACGCCATCAGGGCGGAGTTAGAGAGAGCCGGCCAATGAGCGGTGAGACTAGCGATGACGCCATCGGGGCGCGCGGCGCCGCGCGTGGGCGGGGTCAGAGCCAGCCGGCCAATGAGCGGCGCGCACGGCGGTGACGCCATCAGTACGCGCGGAAGCGGCGGAGCGCGGCATGGCGGAGTTCCGTGCGCTCGGGCTGGCGCCGTGGCTGGCGGAGCAGGCTCGGCAGGTGGGGCTGCTCCGGCCCACGCCCGTGCAGGCCGCCTGCATCCCGGCCGTGCTGCAGGGTGAGCGCCGCGGGAATCAGGGCCGGGAACGGCCCCGGGACGGCCATGGGCGGGCCCCGGTCCTTCCCGCGAACGCCGCTCCCGGTCCCCGTCCCACCCCCGGGACCGGCCCCTCAGCGTCCCCATCCCTCCCTCGGGCCCGGCCGTTCTCCCTCCCGTGCCCCGGCCCCGAGCCTATTCCCGTCCCCGTGCCTCGGTCCCGTTCCCATTCCCTTTCCCCGTTCTCCGGTCCCGTTCCCATCCCCCTTCCCCGTTTCCCTTTCCCCGTTCCCGGTTCCCATTTGCCGTTCCCCGTTCCCGCTGACTGCCGGTTCCCCGCAGGCCGGGACTGCCTGGGCTGTGCGCAGACGGGCAGCGGGAAGACGGCGGCGTTCGTGCTGCCGGTGCTGCACGTGCTGGCGCAGGACCCGTACGGCATCTTCTGCCTCGTGCTCACCCCCACCCGGTACCGGCGCCGCGGGGGGAACCGGGGGGAGCCCTGGGGTAACCGGGGAGAGCTTGGGGGGTCCCGGGGAACGGGGGGGAACCAGAGAGAGCCCCGGGGCAGGACTGGGGGAACCGGGGGGAGTGCTGGGGGTACCATTGGGAGCCCCGGGGAGTTCTGGGGGAGCTCTGGGGGGGCCCTGGGCAGTTCTGGGGGAGCTCTGGGAGGGCCCTGGGCAGTTTTGGGGGAGCTCTGGGGGGGCCCTGGGCAGTTCTGGGGGAGCTCTGGGGGGGCCCTGGGCAGTTCTGGGGGAGCTCTGGGGGGGCCCTGGGCAGTTCTGGGGGAGCTCTGGGGGGGCCCTGGGCAGTTCTGGGGGAGCTCTGGGGGGGCCCTGGGCAGTTCTGGGGGAGCTCTGGGGGGGCCCTGGGCAGTTTTGGGGTCCCCCCGGTCCCGCTGACCCGTTGTCCCCCCTCCGTGCAGGGAGCTGGCGTACCAGATCGCCGAACAGTTCCGGGTGCTGGGCAAACCCCTGGGGCTCAAGGACTGCGTGGTGGTGGGGGGGCTCGGTGAGTCTGGGGGGCACTGGGGGGGCTCGGTGAGTCTGGGGGGGCTCGGTGAGTCTGGGGGGCACTGGGGGGCACTGGGGGGGCTCGGTGAGTCTGGGGGGCACTGGGGGGTCTGGGGGGGCTCGGTGAGTCTGGGGGGGTCCTGCCCTGTTCCCACTGTTCCCATTCCCAGTGTTTCTGTCATTCCCAGCCAGTCTGTGTGTCCGTCCCAGACATGGTGTCGCAGGCCCTGGCTCACATTCCCTGTCTGTCCGTCTGTCCCAGACATGGTGTCCCAGCCCCATTCCCATTGTCTGTCTGTCCGTCTGTCCCAGACATGGTGTCCCAGCCCCATTCCCATTGTCTGTCTGTCCCAGACATGGTGTCCCAGCCCCATTCCCATTGTCTGTCTGTCCGTCTGTCCCAGACATGGCGTCCCAGCCCCATTCCCATTGTCTGTCTGTCCGTCTGTCCCAGACATGGTGTCCCAGCCCCATTCCCATTGTCTGTCTGTCCGTCTGTCCCAGACATGGTGTCCCAGCCCCATTCCCATTGTCTGTCTGTCCGTCTGTCCCAGACATGGTGTCCCAGCCCCATTCCCATTGTCTGTCTGTCCGTCTGTCCCAGACATGGTGTCCCAGCCCCATTCCCATTGTCTGTCTGTCCGTCTGTCCCAGACATGGTGTCCCAGCCCCATTCCCATTGTCTGTCTGTCCCAGACATGGTGTCCCAGCCCCATTCCCATTGTCTGTCTGTCCGTCTGTCCCAGACATGGTGTCCCAGCCCCATTCCCATTGTCTGTCTGTCCGTCTGTCCCAGACATGGTGTCCCAGCCCCATTCCCATTGTCTGTCTGTCCGTCTGTCCCAGACATGGTGTCCCAGCCCCATTCCCATTGTCTGTCTGTCCGTCTGTCCCAGACATGGTGTCCCAGCCCCATTCCCATTGTCTGTCTGTCCCAGACATGGTGTCCCAGCCCCATTCCCATTGTCTGTCTGTCCCAGACATGGTGTCCCAGCCCCATTCCCATTGTCTGTCTGTCCGTCTGTCCCAGACATGGTGTCCCAGCCCCATTCCCATTGTCTGTCTGTCCATCTGTCCCAGACATGGTGTCCCAGCCCCATTCCCATTGTCTGTCTGTCTGTCTGTCCCAGACATGGTGTCCCAGGCCCATTCCCATTGTCTGTCTGTCCGTCTGTCCCAGACATGGTGTCCCAGCCCCATTCCCATTGTCTGTCTGTCCGTCTGTCCCAGACATGGTGTCCCAGCCCCATTCCCATTGTCTGTCTGTCTGTCTGTCCCAGACATGGTGTCCCAGCCCCATTCCCATTCCCTGTCTGTCTGTCCATCCCAGACATGGTGTCCCAGGCCCTGGCCCTGTCCCGCAGGCCCCACGTGGTCGTGGCCACCCCCGGGCGCCTGGCCGACCACCTGCGCAGCTCCAGCACCTTCAGCCTCAGCAAGCTGCGCTTCCTGGTGAGCCCCAAACCGCCCTGGGGCTCCCCAGGGTCCCGAGGGGTTCCCCCCATCCCTGGGGACATTCCCAGGAATCCTCCTGGGTTTCCTCCATCCCTGGCTGGATTCCTGGGAATCCTGAGGGGTTCCCCCCATCCCTGGGCCCATTTCCTGGGTTCCCTGGTGCATTCCCTGTGGCGTTCCCTGGTGGATCCTGGGCTCTGTGCGTTTCCCTGGTGGCTCCCTGGGTTTCCCTGGGTTTCCCTGGGTTTCCCTGGTGGTTCCCTGGTGGATCCCTGGGTTTCCCTGGGTTTCCCTGGTGGCTCCCTGGTGGATCCCTGGGTTTCCCTGGTGGCTCCCTGGTGGTTCCCTGGTGGATCCCTGGGTTTCCCTGGGTTTCCCTGGTGGTTCCCTGGTGGATCCTGGGTTTCCCTGGTGGTTCCCTGGTGGATCCCTGGGTTTCCCTGGTGGTTCCCTGGTGGTTCCCTGGGTTTCCCTGGGTTTCCCTGGGTTTCCCTGGTGGTTCCCTGGTGGATCCCTGGGTTTCCCTGGTGGTTCCCTGGTGGTTCCCTGGGTTTCCCCGGTGCCTCCCTGGCACTGCCAGCCCCTGAGGGTGCCGTTGCCAGGTTCTGGACGAGGCTGACCGCCTGCTGGAGCAGGGCAGCGCCGATTTCAGCGCGGACCTGGAGCTGATCCTGGGCGCGGTGCCCGCGCGCCGCCAGACGCTGCTGTTCAGCGCCACCCTGACGGGCACCCTGTGCCAGCTGCGGGGCCTGGCTGCCAACAGCCCCTTCTTCTGGGAGGCCCCGGCCCCGTGAGTGCCCAGGGTGCCCCCGTTTGCCCGGGCTTTGGCTGCTTCTCCTCCTTTCCCTGGGGTTTGGTTCCTTCTGCTGCCTTTTCCTGGGGTTTGGTTCCTTCTCCTCCTTTTCCTGGGGTTTGGTTCCTTCTCCTCCTTTCCCTGGGGTTTGGCTCCTTCTGCTGCCTTTTCCTGGGGTTTGGTTCCTTCTCCTCCTTTTCCTGGGGTTTGGCTCCTTCTGCTGCCTTTTCCTGTGCTGGTGGTGCTGAGGCGCTGCCAGGGATTTGGGGGTGCTGGGAGAAGGACGTGGAGGGCATGGAGGGGGTCCTGGAAAGGGCTGGGAATTCCTGAGAGAGACGAGAATTCCTGGAGGGGCTGGGAATGGTTTGGAGAATTCCTGAGGGAGCTGGGAAGGGGCTGGAGAATTCCTGAGGGATACGAGAAAGGAGAACTCTTGAGGGAGTTGGGAATTCCTGAGGGAGCTGGGAATGGTTTGGAGAATTCCTGAGGAGCTGGGAAGGGCCCAGCCTGGAGCAGAGCAGGATCAGATCAGGGGCACATTCCCAATGCCCACAAGTCCCCAGCAGGAGGGGACAGCCAGGAGGGTCCCGGGGACACCAGGACAGGAGGGAGCAGCCCCAGGTGGGACCTCAGCAGGAATTTCCTCATGGAAAGGGAGCAGCAGTCAGGGCAGGGCTGGGGGTGCTGTGGGTGATCCTGGGGGCCTTTCCCAGCCTCAGGGACCCCGATGTCCCTGTCCCTGTCCCTGCAGGGTGAGGACAGTGGAGGGGCTGGAGCAGAGGTACCTGCTGGTGCCCGAGGCGCTCAAGGACGCCTACCTGGTGCACCTGGTGCAGAGCTTCCAGGACCAGCACGAGGACTGGGCCATCATCATCTTCACCAAGACCTGCAAGTGAGAGCTCTGCTCCTTTTCCTGCTCCCTTTTCTTGCTCCTTTTCCTGCTCCCTTTTACTTTTCTTGCTCCCTTTTCCTTTTCCTGCTCCCTTTCTTTCCCCCTTTTCCTGCTCCTTTTCCTGCTCCCTTTTCCCTTTCCTGCTCCCTTTTCCCTTTCCTGCTCCCTTTTCCTTTTCCTTCTCCTTTTCCTGCTCCTTTTCCTGCTCCCTTTCCTTCCTCCTGTTCTCCTCCCTGTCCCAGTTTTCCCACCCCTGGAATTGTCCCAGGCCATGCTGGAGCACCCCAGGGTTGTTGGAGATATCATAAAAGAGGGGAAAAATGAGAATTTTGGGAATTG